ATATTTGGGGAATGCATAATAATACTCTAGCAATGCTATCACTGAAACAGAATAGGGCAATTATTGTAATAGGGAAGCAATTGAATGAGGGTGATCATGAAATATAGGTGAACATTAGAATAGGAGTAGTTGCTAATAAATACAAATTCCAGGAGGCCCTTGCTAGAGAGGGACACTAAATCAAATAATTAGGGTAATTAAGGATTGCAAGGGTTTTGCTTTTCTTCACTTACTAATTTGCCACAAAAAAAATGGCACAGCCTTCTGAATCAATCAGATACAAATCTTAAACCAATCATTTGAATCTACAGTACATGTAGCTAGGCAACCTGGCTGCTTAGAGGTGTCTTAACAAAGTCTCATACCTCTTTTTCCCAATTAGAGCCAAGCAAAAGGGCATTCAAGAACCAATTTTTTTCTTCCATTTTTTGCAACCACCAAAGAAAAAGCTGCGTGAAGACCACATTTTGTTCTTACTATTATTGGGTTGAATTCTAAGATGTCTGGGCAGTCAGGTTGCCAAATGATTTCCAAAATGTTGGCATTCATAGTCAATTTAAACATTTAGATGACTCATTGGTATCTCAAAACATGGAAAGAGGCAAATTTTCATCATATGTTAATTTAAATAATAGAAACAAAAATTATATGATTTTACGAGCATATACTTCCTTCAAATCTGAAAATTGTAGTTGAGTCATTTCATTAAAGTTCAGTTAAAATTACAAGAATGACTTGTGCTCTTTACATGTAAAGTACAGATTGAGTATAACACTTACATGAACAGATGAGTCATCATGGCTTAGTGGAGTATCAAGAGGATGCTTCCAGCTTGATTCCCTTGTGATAGTGTTAAAATAATAATGCTTGTCCCTTCTTGATTTGGACTGTCGACATATCCAGCCTGTTGGAAGCGGTCTGTCATCTACATCAGCACAGTTCATACTGACTAGGCATCTTCTTTGAGATGACAAATATCTGTGCAGATCAATGAAAAAAAATTGTTCAGATTGAATTAGAATGGAGAGCAGTATACCAATAAACCTTTGTAAATTACATTAGAAAAACTCTTATCACAGCTATCTGTCAACAATGCAAGACTTAATTGCACAACACTAGGACTTGTTTTAGCCAAAGGTTCAATGCAGATCAACTCCACAGCATGGACAATCAATGTTTTTCATTTATCATTTACAGAAATTGAGATTCATGGAAAATGTTGACCATGTCGTGGTCAAAATGTAGCCAATATACAGATGCAGAAGTCTTTGAACACATTTAATTTACGGGTAGTAGTTCTCCAACTGTCATGGTATCAGATCAACTTATAATTGATATTTCTCTCTTCTCATCACTTGTCTGCTTAATATTATGATGATTATCCCTCTCCACACCACCAAAAACAAATTATAATGCACACTAAATTGTCTGCTCTGAAGGAGCAAGGAGGTCTTGCAAATACAATAAGAGCTTCTAAATAAGAGAGGTCTGTCACACATCATTCTATCTGCATTCCGAGCTTAAGTGCTTTAATTTGCATCTGACTTTTGCTGATATGTATATCTGATGGTTAATCAGTTCACTAATCTGAAATATGAAATGCAGGCATGCATGGAGATATACCTAAAAAATATTTCATAGTAAGTTCAGGTTTGAGTAAAGAGGACGATAACATCTACTGACAGAAATCACACTAATTTATATTTTCTCACATAGGTCCGGACAATCACTTTCTCGTTGGAAATGGAAGACTTGTCACTAGATTTGTGTATGTATTTAAAAAAAATGGATTACGATGGAAAACACACATACTCATTTACTTATGAAAATAACAGGAACATTTCAGGTTCAACGTTTCGTTTCACCACCACTCACCAAATTATTTGACGTCGATAGGCTCTGCGGGCGCCTACCCTTCCTTGCAAATGCTTATCATTTAAGAGGTTGCTCCATGTATAGATGGAATGAGATGCAATTTAAACGTGCAATTAAATATTTCCCTCACCTGACATGCTACGTCAATCGCTCATTCGGGAGGAATTCCCAAACCACTTCACCATCCACACCAAAACACAGAACGCCATGTGCATACATGGTAACCGCGCCAGAAGATCACAGGGGGCGCTGACGTAATGGCGCTGACCGAATAATTTCCTTTGCAAAAGTAGTTGATAGCGGCGCCCAAGGATTTTAGGAGGCACAGGATCGAACCCAATTAAAGCCTGAGCAACTTCAGATTTCCTTTTTGGTTATTTTTTTTTTAATGGTGGTTTACCGATGAAGATCACTCCGTGATATGTTATCTATACCTGGTCATGCAATTGCTTGTTTTTGGTGTTTTAACACTTCTAAAGACCTTTAGGAAACTTAAATTCTTCAAGCTATCTGCACATATGCCGTCCCTAAATTTTAGTTGACTTTGAAAAGTGCCTAGCCTGTCAGCGGTCAGTTGGCATAGGTCGTACCCAGTCCATGCTGAAAATCGAAACAAAAGGGAGTGGTGTGATCACAAGGAACCGCTTCCTCATTGGGCTTCAGCAGTCAAGTAAATTTTTTTGGTGCAACTATCTTCTGCTGCAGGGGAGATAGTATTCTCGATACTAGGAGTCATCGTTCAACTAGCAACAGGAATGTGCCCTAGTTGACAACTTGCAAGCAATTGCAAGTGAGATGTCGCATTGCAACAAGCGATGAACGTTTTGAAGATCTCATGAAACGTACAGAGCATTCTTCAAAGGACAAGTTCATAAACAGGTAAAATTGTGTAATACTTGACACATTTCAGAAACCCAAACAAGCGCCGTTGTAGAGGTGCAAAAAGAAATAGAAAAATGTTTTCCTCTATATTCAGTTTACGAAAAACAACCTGATGCCTTATTTTGTACTGAGGTATTTTTTCTTCACAATCAACAAAGGATTTTTCAAACCAATGGAGCACGATTTTGAAAAATGAGCATAATTCAAGTATTTTTTGACAAAAAACGAGCATTGCCAAGAGTATACAATTCCAGTTTTACAGCCAGGTTCTGATCACGTACAAAACCTTGATATTAATTGCATCAATAAATATATCCTGCTCGGGCACAGTCTTGACATCCCATAAAAATTGTTTTGCGAGCGGGCTTCATTTTAAGAATCATGCAGGGTCAAATGATTACTAATCAGCCAATCACAATCGTCTTTAGAGCAAGGGAAACCGCGGGTGTAGAACAACTACCGCTATAACATGGCGACACAAATAATACATCAGTAGGTTGGTTTTAACTCTGGTTTTAGTTAAAATCTACGAGGGCCAGAAATTCCTTCATTTCCCTTGCAATTTGGAGTGCACTTTTTCAAGAGTGAACAGGTATTTTTAGAGAAACCTCAAGAAAGAAGCATGTGGATCAGGGGAAATAAAAAAAATTATCAGACAAGAGTTAGAGGAAAGTGAGCATGCCCGTCAGATGAAGATCTTCAACTGAGCCATCGAACTCAAAGAGTATTCGTGCAGACTCTACAAAGCAGTCATTGGAACCCTGCCATTGCCAAATGTCGCATAATTTGAAATTTGCAAGTAAACATTTCAAGAGTTCAAAATGTAAATGCTTCCCGATACACGCGCATGCGATAAACAACAAACCAATATAGAATCTTTTCTTTCTTCATTCCTTTTCCTATTCCTTGGGGTGTTATTATATCGAAGCGGTCAACCGAAATCATTACGTGAAGAAATTACCTGAGTATTGTGATCATAGCTTAAGAATAATTTCGATTTAGGAAACGAGCACGTGGCAATTAAAAGAACCAAAAGAAAGGTAAAAAACGAGCGATTAGTTTCGCTTTGAGTAACAACTACGAGCTCGGTAACATAATCACAAAACAGGTTATTGCTTATCAAGGTTCGCGGGTCTTGATTACTCTATCGAGGATTACAGTCTAACTTGCATGCTATTCAAAAACGACCTTAATCACACGGTGTCTTACCCTGAACTGAAATGCTAACTACAATTTTCTGTCGAAAAGGAACTAATCATGGAGGCGTCAATCTAACCAGAAAATATGTCGCAGCTTTTCTCGGAAGCGGTAACATTTAGCTTCAACGAAAGCAGTTACACAAAGAAGGCCAGTATGTACTCGATTAATCTAAAGCAGAACTGTCAGTGGCATGGACAGCAAAACAAGAGAGGAATATACGACACAGCCGAGAAAATCACCAGCGCTACGTACGAAAACGGCTGCAAGTATGATTTACACACGCAAGAATATCCTATCGCAGTCACTGAAGTATTTGATGAGAAATCAACCGATGGGAATCTGCTTCTTGATTTCTTGACGCGCACTAGCCTACGTGTAGCCGTACCCTCCCCCGATGGTGAAACGGAAGCGAGGGAACTAATTAAAAGTCTTTATACATTTTCTTGCAAAAGAGTGACGTCACGGAACACGATTAGTGACAGGTTTGCGTAGACTTTGCCTCGCCTCCGCCTTCACCTTGGCGGGGGTAAGGGTACGGCTACAAGTAGTTTAGACGCATACTGGTAATTTTCGCGAGACGGCAGACACAATTCTTACAATTAGCCTCCCATTTTTAGTGTTCCCAAATTGCGTATAGAGCGACAAAATCCTTGTCAAAAAACCTTTGTAATAACCTTTTTGGCAAAACATATGTATAATTCTAAAAAGCCACACCCTTGATTGTTTTGATAGTTGTCATTACTGTCAAAGAAAATCAAAATCAAAACTATTGAATGGCTGAAGTCAAAAATTTGTCTTAAACTAGGAACTTTACGTCTTTTGAAGAGAGCTTATAGTGGTCGTTTCTCCAAGAAATCAAATAGATGTTAACTTTAATGCGGACGTCTCGGAAAGCAGGGTCTGAATTGCTCTTCATTCGAAAGGCACATTTCACCTTGGCTGGTAGTTAGGAATGACACAAGTGCCTCACCACTATTTTGAGAAGATCAAAATTTCATTTTTCACATTACATTAATACAGGATGTGCTAGTTCTATACACTATGCACTACAATGAAATATTTTTCTGCTTACATATTCAACTTTATTGCACATAGTTCTAGATCAAAACTTTACGAAAACAAACTTATGTATAACTGTAACAATTTAAAACAATTGATACATTCTTAATTTACATTCTTCTTCTGGCTTACTGCCTTGATATAAATAAAGAATAAACCTTCTGTAGCTCAGGTAAAAGAAGGAAATGAAATGAGTGAAATACAAAACATTTCAGTATTGAGTTTGTGGCAAAGCAGAAGATACAAAGAAAATACACTGAGCATCATTGCTCCTGTCCCTCCTCTAACATCAGCCAGTAAATGCTTAATCCACATAGGGGAATAAATCAATCAAACACATACTTATGATTAAAATGGTATTGTTCAAATTTCATGTTTGATAGAATTTACAGTAAGTAGTGGTCTTCTCCTGAATGAGTCCAGTTCTCATGGTTCTGAATTAAACCAAATGCCCAGAAATTTCAAATGGTATTGAATTACCAGACTGAGTCCAAAAATTTACAATGAAGTTTGGCTAATGTAAAATCACTGTAGATTCAACATAAGGTATATTCACTCAATTTATAGCCTACAGAACTGGCTTAATTTTTAATGTTTTTCAGTGGAACAGGAGCAAGCACAAGGCAAGCGCAAAGTGCAAGTCACATGCAAGGGGAAGGTTGCAAAATAAAATAACACCTGCACCCACAGTATTGTTCAAGCTTTGATCACATGATATCAAGTAACCAATTGGGTAGCTGTGTTCATATATTAATGTAGGAACGGCTTGAACAACAGTGTGGGTGCAGGTGTAATTTTTTTCACCTTCCTCCCCTCGCACTTGACTCTTTTTGTCCTCCCCACTCATGCCTGACTAGCACTTTGCCCTCACCTCACATTTTCCTCTGATCAACTGACTCTCAAAACCTCAGCTTTTGAACTCTTTACAGCCACCAATTTACATTATCAACTCGGTAGATAATACTAAATTACCATTATACTCTTCCACCCACAAAGCACCACAGATTCTTTAGAAACTTACCCCATTTGCACAATAATCTGATTTCAAACATGTTTCACAAGTTCCAAGTGCTGTTATTAATTGAACATCAACATAGCTTGCCAAAAAGCTAACTCCTTTTTCTCAAAAATTAAGCAAATGTAGTCACCTCTCATATTGAGAACTTTTTTATCAAACTGTCACCAAAGGGATATTATTTACTTTCATTAGTGTTGATGAAGTGAAAAGGCCAAAGCAGAAAGCAATATTGAAAGACCCAGTGCAAAATGAACACATTTTCATCACCACAGCAAGGATAAACATATTAACTTTTAAACACAGGTCTGAGAAATTTTACTATTTCATTAATATATCTCAATAATATTGATATGTATAGCATCTCTTTAAAGCATAAAACTGTACACCAATTTTTAATAATAAAACTATTTAACCTAACATTCAAATAGATTTGACTGTGTTGGACAATTAAAGTGTTGTGGCAAGCAGAGAATCTAATTGTCTCTTTGCTTATTTTGGTTACGTCTAAATTCTGCTCGCCAAAATGCCATGAATATCTGAATATTGAGCCCTGAGATAATAGCCATACCAGTAGCAGAAAATAAGAAATGTAAAAATGGCAAGTCATTGCGATGCTGTATGACAAAATTTGTCATCCATGCTGAGGTAAGAAATCGGAAGCACACAAATGTCATCAACACTACTATACGTACTACTCGGTACAACATACAAGTTTTGCTCACTCCATGAAAATTCAATAATTGTCTTAAATGTAAGAAGACACTGTTGACTTCCATTAAAAGAGAACAAACTGCAAAGGCGATGTACATTTTGCTGAAAACTGCTATTGAAAAGGCCATACATACCTGTAATAAAAGTAGTAGTATTTAAGATAATTATATAATTTAGAGAACAATGAAAAGTTACATGCACGACAATAAATCTCTCCCAAAAATGTGAACACCTCACTTATTTAATACCCAACCCACATGTGATTCTCAAGATTCAGAATCAAACAGATACTGCAGCAGGCCACAGTAATTACAGCAGTTGCGTTTGTAATACTCTATTAAAACTCAATTTAATATGAATGTAAACATAAATCTATCTTACCAATACATGGTGTATCAGGAGACTCATGGAATTACTGGCATCGTACATCAGCATATCAAAGAAATCATGGATAAAATAACCTGTAACACAGATGAATCTCATGTAAGTCACCATCCAGGGTTACTAACAAAAAGTATGGAGTACAAGGATAATCATATGCAAAACTATTAATGGTATGTTACATTTTTACCCTTGAACTCCCACGAGTGACTGAGAGAGAATTTCTCCTTACAGAAGACAAGTGTTGGGAATAAAGAAATTTATCTATCAGGCCCCAGTAGTTCAAAGCATGGATAAAGCTAACCACTGGATAAATCTCTGTCCCATCGATAGCATAGTAAGTTTTCTAAACTCTTATCCGCTGGATAGCAATTTATCTGTTGGATAGTGCTATCCAGCCTTTATACAACTGGACCCAGAAGATTATTAATTGATGCAATACAAAATTCTTTGAAGCAGCATTTTAAGAATGGGCAGACTGTAAAGATAATTACAGTGAGATCTTGGGAGTGAAAGAGTCAAATGAACTATTAGCTCATATTGATGATGGGAAGTTTATATCAGGACTACTCACACTTAACCTGAGAGGAATAACAGGACTTCTAAATTCAAAGGCAGCTAAAATTCTTGAAGTAGTTCAAAACTCAAAATCAGAGGTCACATAAAAAATAAATGAAATCACCTGTCAGCAAGTCAAATTGCACACTGAGCCAGTACAAAAATTTGACACCAAATTTAAGACAGAATGGCAGGACCTGCTTATTACGAAAGTTGAAGTTGCAAAGCAAGAAAATTAAAATGATCATGGTCAGACTTTGTAGAATTGATTTCTTTGTTACCAGTTTAATTTCTTATGATACTTTGATATCTTAGGTGGGCAGAAGGGAAGGGGGGGTCTTCAAGGAAAGGGGGTCCCTACAAACATTGCAAATGTGGAAGATGTGATGAAAAGAAAAGATTAAGAGGTATGTATGGTTCAGATCAATATTCATCCAAAGAATTAGGATATAACATTTTCAGAGGGGAAGTTTAGACTTGACAAAATATAGAAACACAATAAAATGGAAACACTCTATGTGATACCAAATCATACTGTTTTGATCCTGACAAGGCAAGACAATTACCCTTGGGGGCTCGAGAAAGATAGGGGGCTAATGTTATTATGGCATTAAGAGCTGTCATGTGAGTTATCACTTTTCATCAGATTACTTCTGAATACAATAATCAGTGTACATTTCTTAACAATCTTCAAAGTGGAAAATAAAAAAACTTTGGCTTTCAGGTTCGTATATGTCGCTATCTAATTCCAATGGAAAACTTCATTATGGTATAACTAGTTGCATTTGGCCGAGTACATTAGGGGCTATCTAGATTCGATCATCCCTAAGGAACTAGTACAAGAGTTGGCAAATGCTTACGATCTAAGATAAAAGTCTTACATTAGTACATGATGTTGATCTTATGTAAATTATGCAATTTTTTAATTTGAGAGGCGTTGAGGATCGTTGAATCTCGATACATTTGACTTGACCCTTAGCTTGTGTGTGCAGATTTCATTACTTAACTATCTCACCCATGTAAGACATACCGGTGCAGAAGGTTACAAGGTAAAAGGCTGTATTACTCCATGCCGTGAGCATTTTTGTTAACATCACTGGTTCGTCAAAAAAGCTGCAAAGATCACGAACGAAGAGCAATGAATTTCGCCATTGAACAAGGTTGGCATGACATTCTGACATTTTTAGTGGTAAAAGAATTCGAGTGAATGGGTTATGAACTCACCAGTAGACTGATAAGATAGCTGAAATAAAGGAATGTACAAATGACACAGAGATATTTTGATACAACCATGTTTTCCTCGGAGGTGACGATTTCATTCCAGATGGTGTGGGCGCATAATTTTTCAGAGCATACTGCAATGCTCGAAAACATACAAAAAATCCGAGTATTTCATAGGAGCCACGAGGGAGATTCAGAATGTTTAACATGATGTGAACTCTCTTCAACACTTCACAGGTAGAGGAAGAGTGTCTTGTTGAAGGGAGTATCCTTATGATTATGCAACAATAGAATGCGTGACTAAAGTACATGACATTTACAATGGCTTTGAGATCATGACGTCACACACAGCCCATATGTCACCATTGGTCAAGTTGAATGGCATGATTTCTTGGAATCACGCTCGGGAGGACAAAGTAGGTGTGTGTACTCGTTTTTTGGCCCTTACGTTCAAAGAAGAATCACAATGACATGACATTTTTTGGAGTAACAGGGTGTCGGGTGAATCTTTTTCAGAACAACTTGGCCATTAGCATGAAAATCAGCCGTCAGGCCCGTCACGGTTCAACAAGGATGCTTGGAGTATCACGCATCAGTCACCTGGTTAACACCGGGCAACGGATGGTTCGAAACAAACTCGGGTTAGAGGATTTCAAACTCGTTCCCATGAGGACGAAAACGTACTCACCGAACGCGTAACTAGTTGCAATATCATTTGTCTCTTGTATTGAATACTCTCAATAAACCAGCAGATAATTACCGTATTTACTCGAATAAACACCGCAGCTGGAAGCCAAATGATGAACACCGCCTTCCTATGCCACAACCTATTAGGATAATAAGGGATTTATTCCATCAGGATTATTAGGGAATTATTAAATTAAAACAAAAAGTGCGTTGCGACTCGACCATGTACGCCATCCTTGGAAATTAACACATACAAAAAACGAGACATAAGAACTAAGGACAAGTTTCTGTACCACACTACGAATTGAATGATTGTTGTAGATAGATAGATAGATAGATAGATAGATAGATGGATAGATAAATAGAAAGATAGAAGGATCGTAAAATAAGATAAAAAAATAAGATACTGAAAGTATCAAAATAGATAGTTGTAGTGACATTAAATGTCATGATACGACATATAAGTCATTAATCTCACTTGGCAAACTTTTTTAACCTCTCCGAGGAAACTTTCTGTTCAAATGAGTAGAGTTGCACTACTGGAAAGTAACTGTCAGTGTTTTGACACATTGAGAGTGTACCCAGTGTATGTTTACAGCTCGGAAAAAAACATATCGCTACCATGCATCCTGTTGATTTCATAGTGTTTGTTGAGTACTCATAGGTCAAGTGACTCCTCTCATTCCTCTGATTCGACTGTCTTTTATTAAGTAATCAAGATAGCAGATTTACTGTACAATACTCGTAATAAGTTATTTTACTTTTACTAAGGAAAGAAGATTTACGACACGATTGAGTAATTGGAAGTTTCCTTACAGAGGTAACGCTATGTAACGCAATACACTACAGTGTTGATTCTCATTGCAGAGAGTGTCCATAATTAGCAAAAAAAAAAGCCTTTACATTGCGAGGGATAGTAAAATCAACGACCATCCATATCATTTTTTCAAATTGATCGTGTTTCTAATCAACGAAGTTTCACTGACAAGCGATGACAGATACCGCTGAGATTTCTTTAGTTCAGCTCTTTCTCCAAAATCTACCCTACCCCACCCAAGCATTGCGGTGCCTTCGATGTTTACGCTGATTGGAAAAGTGTTCTTCAATTGCAAAAGTCAGGGTCGCACCTGGAAATGTCCTTCAACCAGAGATTTAAACCACGAAGTAAACACATTTGGGATAACTATTCCCAAGTAGCACTATTGCCTTATGCATTTAAAATTGTTCTATCAGCCGCTACAGCTATAATGTGAAAGCAAACAGTGACTAATTTGAGCACAGGCAGACCACACTATGTGTTCGTGGTCAATAATTCTCTTAACGGCCTCCAGCCAAAAGTAATTTCATAAAATTATTTAGCTTTATTGAGATATTCAGATCGAGATATAATTTAGATATGCAATTTTCAGAGCTTTATTCATAAACCTCACAGATTTTGTCGTCCCATGTGAACAATTATCAACATAGTGTGGTATGCCTGTGATTCGAGCAGTGATCTTCAAACTCTGTCATAGTATGTGTAACCAGGCCTTCTGACGTAATTCCGTGGATCTTGTCCTTTTGTTACTCCATTCAACTCGCAACTCCTTGTGGGTAGTGCTGAATCATGCTGTAAGTTAAACGACAGGCACTGGGGATCAGCAAGGCACTTCTCGAAACATTCCCTAACGTCGCTAACTTGATGCTGACTCTGAGTGTGGTTACGTAATGAGTGACCTACATCATTAATAGTAGCCTGAAAGATCCCTGTAAACGGGAAAAAAGTTGCATGGTTTAACACAGAAGGGCCACGCCCTCTAGGAGAGTAAGGAAACTGTCACATGCATGTTAACAGGAGATTATTATCTTTTGATGTTTAGTAAAGGTAGTAACATGATTTCGAGCGGAATTTGGTGTTTATAAGCACTAACAAATTTGTCTAAGACAGCAAAAATTGCACGAACCCGTAAGACGAAATCTTCAGGAAAGACAAACTTGCACTCGTGTTACGTGAAAAATGCACTCGTCTTTAGCAAATCAGGAGCGTGTAATTCTTTCAGGTATGTTATTATGAGGCAAACTGAATTCCATGAACTTGACTGGACTAAGCCTATCCCGATTAGTTTATCTCATCTTTCTTGCCCACGTTTTAATGGTGCAGGTTTTAAGTAAATTGTGTGACTGAGTTCGCAATTGTTAAATATAATCAGCGCTCAAACATATAGCAGTCTCCGTAAATTACAACTCAGATTTTTGTTAATCCTCGTTAAATTAACCATATTATTTCAGTACCCTGTGTTTACGAGTCCAATTCAGTCCTCGTAATGAGTTTGCTTGTTATGCAAAGTTTTGCTCTGAAATAGGCGCCTCACACTTTCAATCGCCGACAGATGCATTACTCGAACGAGCACCATTGTCTTTTGCCTTTGTTTTCACTAACCCTTATCAGTAAATTTAACACACGTACCCTCAGACAACACCTCTGTCATTACTGGAGCCAAATCAGATAATTTCCGCCGGCAAAAAAGCCTCACATGATCTTCCTCTACTGTAGAAATCCATAATGCGTCCTCACTGATACCCGAGATCTTTCCCCAGAGACTATCTTCTCGTTTTGTATGGTTTGCAAAGGCCTGAGGCCAATGGCTGACATCCGCTGTCTTGCGCCAAAATAGGATCTGAGCCGACTCGCCTCTTTTCAGACCAATACATTTCCATCGTGTGTCGGTAACTAGGCCGTTGCTTACACTTCCTATAAGCCACGGTTTCTGGTGATAATTTCGACATCTCACGGCCAAGTGGCTTGTTTTTGATTTAACAGTGACATTTACTACATTGTTTTCCCATGTGCTGTTTTGAGTACGAGTCTTATAATCACCGAAGGTGAACACAGTCAGCTCTCCTTTGCAAGAAAAATTTGCTTCGAGCGATTCGCTCGTTTTCCCTGAAATACAAACACAAGTTATCATATACACAATGACGTTCCGTCACTGAATTTCAAGTGATCATGGAGCCGGCAGTGAAAATCTCGGTGATTTTGTCCAAGTACATTCTCCTTATTAGATTTGCATACTTGGTTTTTTAATTCATTCTTTACCGGACAAATAATTAGTCTTTATGTAAACATTTAATTACATTTTTTTACGTTAGGCAGCTTTTTTTTTTAACCGTGGGGGTATAACGGTTCTTACACCATTGCACCTGCTATTAAGGGATGTGACATAAAAATCCTAATTTTAGTTGTCCACGATATTTTAACAATACACGATCGGAAGGAAACGAGATGGTATTCATATAACGGTACCTAGATCTATGTGGTGCCTACTCTAACTTGTGATAAATTCATATAGTTCTGGGAATACCGAGAAACAGCGTTCGAGATTTACAAAGTGAGTTTACTTTGAATCAAGTGCAAAGAGCTTAAGCAGAACTACCACTACTACAGCTGGTAAAAAAAAGTGCCTTCAGTTAAAGGCAAGCCTCGACGTGCAGCCTGTTCAACACAACATGAACATCGAAGTTGGCAGGGCGCAATGTAAATATTTATATTGACACCGTTCTTGCATGTAAGGGTTCTCGTTAGCTCTGGTTTTCTCATTACATTTTTCATTCTGAGTTAAGTACAACACGGGCGAAAGAAGCCGAAAATCAGTTGAAATACAAAAATATGTCTGCGATTCACGATCGCTTTTGGGATGCAATGGGGAAGAACTTAATTAAACACATCCACAGGAAAATCATTTCTCACAGGATTTGCTAATTTCAAATATGTTTTACATAGCATCTTTCGATCTCGTTTGTATTCACCTTCAGCTTTGCCGGATGACTTGCCGTACTTGAACATTCATGATTAAAATAATTTGCTTCTATCACAGAAATAAACTTTGTCACGGTTACTGGCTTGTTAGTTCCTTAATTGTAACTCACCTTTGCAAAACGGAATATTGAACAGAAGATAAAATGGAAAAAATATCATGTCTTCGAAAAAAGAAAAACGTTTTTGATCACTTAGCAGGCCACGAGAATCTGTTTCAGGCTGACTTTCACTGAGTAAGTTGTCGCTTTATGTGTACCTAAAGGCTGTTGTAACAGTTGTGTTTATTTTTGTTTTTACCATGAGAGTGCACTTTGATTGAAAGGAAACACCATGGACAAAGAGAACTGGAGACATTTATCTATACGAAACAATGTGCAATTAACGTTAGAATTCAAAGTTAAGCAAACAGTCGAATCGTGGTGATGCCACAGAGATAAAACACTCATGAATAAGAATACTTTCCACAACTAATATCCAATTTTAATTTAATGTTGTGTGTCAATTCTCATTTTATAAAAGATATCGAAATAGAAGTTTCCATTACGATAAGATTATCTCTTCATTCGTTACGCACCCTGTGATTGGTTATTCTTTGAGGACCGCACACTTCTGTGCAGCGTGCTAAATTTTAAAATTTGGTGCTGAATTACGGGTTACTTATCTCCAATTGTTCTCGATTTTCGACAGCGAATAAAAGATAATTTTTTTATATTGTTTCCTTTCTTTTCCCTAATAATACTAAAACATGAAAAATACTGAGTAACGTTTCTGAATTTTCATATGGATTCTGCTGTAATGCGTTATTAGAAATCGCTTCCGAATCCTGTTAATTAAGGATATTTGTTATTCCTCGAGGTTCTTTGATTTTTGTACCGTATGGTATGCTACATATCCGCGTTTTCGAGGAGAGAAAAACAAAGTTGGTTCGTAACCTCCACAATGGCCCTGGAACCCATTGATCACTATTTTGTGGTATTAGAAAAATTTCGAAAATCGCAATTGCAGAAAATATTACATTATGCATTATTGATGAACCTTGTTTTTAAATTTGACCTCGGATGTCAGAAAAGGTCGCATTATCATAATTACAGACGTCCTCGTACATTTCTCCTCTTTTTTAATTTGATTTGTGGGTTTTTTAAATTATAAACAAATTGTAAACTAGGCAGGCTATTTTTGAACGGATAACTTTTTAGGATGCCAACGTGTTTGTTTCAGGACGAAAAGAGAAGTTCATGATTACCGGACGTAAACAATAGAGAGTTCCTTAGTGCTTTTTCTTCCTTGCGGCAAAACTTATCACCTTTTGAATTTTGTGGGAACCAATTCACGCTCATTTTCATGAGAGCAAGCTTTTAGTAATAGGAGACAATGATTAGGGAAATAGCGAATGAGTATGTCAATTTTATTACTTGCTCTGAAAACAAAAAGCCATTCATCCTGGAATTGTAAATTCTATGGCTGATTTAATTAAATTGTGCAACATCAGGGTTTTGCTAAACATCCTGAAAATCGCTGCTTCGTAATCATCACCCTCGCAGAAAAAAAATTGTCAATTAGCTGCTTTAAATCATTCATTTGTTTTAATTTCTAATTTCATTTATCAACATTTTATCTATTTACTTAAAGTAAAAAAAAGTGTCTCGGTGAAGAGCTCAATACTCCAAAGCTCCTTTAGGTGACTGTATATGAAATAGAGTGAGGATATTTTGTAGTCCCTAGTGCCCGCAGTGCACCCATGGTAATGCCCCCATGATGCAATACTGCATTATGTTTACCGTGAGCTCGATTTAGGTTATGATTGTTTTTTTAGTTCCTGGCTGTGATCTCTTCCTACAAACTAAACAAATCAACAACGACATAACCTTTTCTGTATCTCTTAGACAGCGGAACTGTGATTATGTTATGACAAATTTCAACCAGCATTTGTTACTGGTAGGTGAATGGTATTCCAGCCAAATAGCTGATTTAAGTGCTCGTGTAATTATTATCATGCTCTGAAACCGGAACATCATTGGATGTTATTCAAAATCAAAGATTTCATCTGAATGGCGAAATTCAAACTCTGTCATAGTATGTGTAACCAGGTCTTCTGACGTAATTCCGTGGATCTTGTTCTTTTGTGACTCCAATCAACTCGCAACTCCTTGTGGGTAGTACTAAATCATGCTCAAAGTTGAACGAAAGGCACCGGGAGTCAACCAAGCACCTCTCGAAACAGCCCATAACATCACTAACCTGATGCTGACTCTGAATGTGGTTACGTAAAGAGTAGCCTTCGTCATCAATTGTAGCCTGAAAGATCCCTGTTAAGATTAACAGAGTTCTGTGGTTGATATTGGACGGCCCTTTGGTGTTCAATATAGATCCCGCCGAAACCCAAGTATAAACTATCCTCTCTAACTTTAAAGTGGTGTACAATATACAACTGTTTCAGCAGTATGTACGGGTATTTAGAAACTTTTTTGCTGCCTACCCCCCCCCCCTTCCTCAAAAGGGTTTTATTTTATGGGATGCCTATTTTCAACCCCTATACTGATCAGAAATAATTGCATTTATCGCTGTTACTCGATTATACTTCGATAATGATAATATAATACTACTAGAACTTCGATGATTCGCCAGGTAAATCTTTTCGGTATCCTCTATCTACATGAATTAGCGGTGGCTAGAGGTTTTAGCAAGTTTCATAACTGTATAATACTCTTGGTGTTGTTGTCCAAACCGTTGTTATTTTAAAGTAAGTTCGTTCGATCACCTTTACAATTACCTTCAGCCCACTAAGAGGAATCTGGATCTTTAACATTGATAGCGTGAATATACGCTGAAAATCGGAAGATTTGTGAATTTGACGTATTTCCAGATACTACTAACCTTTGGACATTGGAATAACAAAAAGCAACAGCCGGAAACAATAGCTTATTAACTTGTCAAGACTCTATCCACTTCAACTTGTTTCTGTATTAGGTTTATTATTAATAATCAGATATTGCATTCTAGTGTTGTGCTTTGTTTCATCCGCCCTGTGAAAGGCCAGTGTGACATATTAAAGCGACAGCCGGAAACAATAGAACTTAGACCTGATAATTAATCATTGCGAAAGATCAACAGAACTGGTACAAACGAATGAGATTCTTCTTGGAAATAATTTTAACAGAGTTTTGTTACAACTGACTTTTGAATGGAGCAGCAGTCATCTTTAGTACAACTAGACGTTTCATTAAAAGTCTTGTATTTGTAGAAATTTCGTGGTCAGCTTTCTGTGGGTTCACTTGAACCGTTTCTATTAATGTAAATTTCTCCTCTCACCTCAGTCAGTTTTCGTCGACAATGTGGGAAAGGTGATGAAGCAAAGAGCGTTCGGTTTAATATGAGGCGAGACAAATTGTTCATGGTATAGGCAATAAAACCTGGTAACTGCATGGATTTTTTTTCTGAAGAATGCTAAGCTTGACATCTCGTTAAAAGCCTTTTTTCAATATCTAATTTCCGGCTTGACGATTACGTGTCAAATATAAAAATGAATTTTAGATGGAAACTGTTTGCGCTCCCACTCTGGTAATATGGTTTCAATGGGGTGTTGGCTTTTACGGCTAATAGTTAAAATTTTGGCCAATCTACGGCCGACGGTTAATATCTTTCCATTGTTGCCGCAGGAAATTGTTTCTTACGGTTACCATTTTTTATATCCAACTGTTAAAACTTGTCTATTTCTATGCCCAACTGCTTAATTTTTTGGCCGTTTTACGGCAACGGTGCATTCAAATGCTTTTTAATTAGCTCTTGAAACCTACATGTGTAATCAAATTTTTAAAATAATCCACTTACCCTCTCGCACGCGCTTTAGGGTATTGGCAGTAACTAAGCCGACCACGAGTTTTGAATTTAGCTTCCTGCCCCACCCCCCAACAAGCACTTGAGTAACTAGAGTATATTTGCGATTAACTAACAGGCGTTTTGTTAGTGCGAGTTAACGCCAAAAAGCTCGCGATCGTTTGTTCGACCGGCCGTTTTTGACGGTGGGGGTAGGGGGCGGGGGAGGGGAGAAAAAACGTAAGTAATCTTCACTCCCCTACCCCCACCCCTCTCCTTATTTTTGACCGTCGACCGCCCCCTTGGTATAAATTTTTCCTCTCCCCAGCCTTCCGCTGCCATTAAAATCAAAGATGGCGGCCATAATATTCGTTATGAAATTACTTAGCACTGGTTAGCCTAAATTACGGCTACCCTGCAGGTCCCTTCCTTTATTCCTTCTATTCCTTTTATTATGTAGTTGTCTGCTTTTTTTCCTCGCTTTCGCCCGAAGTGTTACCACCATGTCCGCAGGCTGAAGTGAATTAGAATGATTTAATATCACCTGAATTGCTCATGTAAAATTATGCTAAATAAGTTTGCTCAGCAATACACTCAACATTATTTCTAGATTAAACAAAAACAGTAAATCCAAAAAGACATGCATGGAAAGTCGATTATCTTTGTCGAGAAAATAAACAAAAGCACATTTCTCAATTTCAACCGTGTTCTAAATATATCTAAGTGCCAAGAATATTAAAATAATACAGATAGGCGCTCGATCTCTCAAACAAACTTCAAAACCAAAACACAAAATCCCTGTACGCATCCTATCCGTAAAGAACTTAAAACATCTGCATGGTCAGTAAGACTCAAAAAGTGAAAATCAGCATGTTGCCATAATAATTACGATTTTTTTACATGTTTTGACAGTTGCCAACAAGTTTTGACAAGTAACCCTTAAATACAAATGCTTCCGTAAATGTATGCAAATGAACTGCATTCCTGAGATCTTTTGTGAGGAAAAGAAAACCGCGTGGATTTTTGTCAAAATTCGACTCCGCGCGACTTGTTCAGCTTTTTCCACTTTAATTAATACCGCTGTCAGTCTTTCAGGAAATCCGTTCAGGATAACGGCAGTAGAAGAACCACGTAATCTCATTAGCACATCTATCAGTAGAGTGGTCTGACTTTGCAGTTCATTTATCAAAATTCTAAGTAAATAGTCGAAAATAGGTTAATGCAAGAGTTTGTGGCCGAATTTCGTTCGACCCGGATTTAACTGTTAAATTGCGCCTCAACGAGAAGCCTAATATTATTTCCGGACTAAACAGAGGAAACTGCAAAGTAATATGTGGTAAGTTGATTATCCGTGAAATCTTCGCCATGATCAAACAAACACTCAATTCTTTTAAGATTCGACTGCGGTCAGATATTTGGCGAAATTACTTCCTAATAGTAATCATAACTGATCAAATGAAATGTCATTTCACCTGAGTTCTATCAAAACTTCCTGTTTATCTTATGACAAGCACTCCACCAGACAAGGAAAGCCTATTAAAAAAATACGCCTCACCTGGTTATTAAATGCTTTAGTAATGAATCGTAGGTTATTCTTATGCCAATTAGCTTTTGTGGTTAGCCTGTTGCGACTGCTATTGTACGACAGAAAGGGACTTTCCCTTCTCAAGTGCAATTTCTAGAAATTTATTAGAATCGCATGATCGACAAAAGGGCGATGAAAATGATGTTTCCTTCAGAACAAAGGACTATCTTTTTAACATAATTGACGTTCATATCTACAGTTGCAGAAAGAGTCCAAATCGCACATTTAATTGAACTTCAAGTGATTATTACTGCTCGCAGAAGTGCTGAAATTTACTCCATCTTAAAATCGTGGATCGTCGCGCGCTTTTCTGAAAACCAGAAAAACGACTAACATAGCTGAGATTATCATCAATGAAATCCAGAAAAACGACTCACATAGCTGAGATTATCATCCGCAAAAGTGTTTGGGTTTTTTGTCGTGCAACAGGGTTGAACATAAAATAAGCCATCCATCTCATTCTGCATCCATCCTAAGTCTTTTCTTAGCTGTGTACCTCACCTTTTATAAGCCGATGAAAGTAGTTAAATTTGTATAAATTTCACTTTCTCGAATGCATTCAGAGAGTACTTCCGGTTTTGTACACAAAAACATGCGTATATTTTGATTACATATCTTTTTTCCGACTAATTCAAAGAGTCATCTTCAAATAATATCAAACTGATGAAGGTGAGGCTGTAAATAAAAATTAACCGCGTTTTCGGTAAATTATGCCTACAGGAAGTCAAATGACACCAAGGAATAACTCAAACAAACTCCCAAATCTCCGTGGAATCAAGATTCACCCATTCAAATGGTAATAAGTCTCCGTCAGCTTTAATGTTAAACATGGCGCCACTTGACCATAGTTCATTATTCATTCTTCATGACACATTTTCTCCACTCTATTTTCATTTAAATTACGCTCATTTCTTGATTTTGAGCCCAGAATAAACCTTACGTTATGTCTAGTTTTTATAACGCGCAATTGCTGATCTGCCAAAAAGATAAAATGTATACATAATATATCCACGTAACCAAAGCAAAAGGGCAAAATATTATCTCGTGATACCACCCACCGTTGCTTATTCATGCTTATTAAGTTGCGTGATGGGTGCGCCAATCACATTAAGTAACAAATATGAAAAAGAGAAAAGATAAACACCGAGAAAAATGTCAATTTAATGAACACACAAGAGAGATGTTGCCAGATTAAATAAGACCTGTCGACTGTTCATCGGAAAAACCAACAAGTGAACAAACAAAGCCAAGTCCTTCAATTGTATTGATGTTTAAACTACTGATAACTCTTCTCTTTTACTTTTTGTTACTCGACCGCCCGTCAGTCTGGAGTCTATTGGAACAAACAAAGCCAAGTCCTTCAATTGTATTGAGAGATAACTCTTCTACTTGAACGGATCCGCCAGTAAAGCCAAGAGCCTTTTGAGACAGATAATAAGAGCGTCAAAACTTATCAATGATTCTCGTCTTTGAGGTACACCCTTCCACTGTAGATAAAAAAAATAAAATAGAACATCCGTGGCACGCCTTTAAGTAGATGGAGAGAAAAATCTTCGTTGTTGCCGTTAATCGTATCAAAAATTGAACGGATCAAGAACCTCATTAATTTTCAATCAAAGTGACTTCAAGTTCGAAATTCTCCAAACGTTAAGACCTTAAAAAATTATCATAGCCTGTTGCAAGTAAAGTAAATTTTGTTCTTGTCAGTCCTCTAACTTTCATGACCTTTCTGGTCTCGATAAAGATAGAAGCCCTCTATAGATGGATCCTTTCAAGCTCTGCCCATTTGAAGTTAGTTGGTTAAATCCTGTCAACGCAGGATACGTTGTAAGATACAAAGAAGCTTTTTAAAAACACATTGCCCAGCAAATCTCATCCCCTTGCATCCGTATCTCCAATGTTTTTTTTTTTTGTCATTACTTAAAAAAAATCCAAAGAGCATAATTCTTGTGAGTCACCAAGGCCCATCGATATATCACCTTAAGCCCTCTCGGCTTCTGAATGCTGAATAGTATCCTAAAGGCATTCGGATTTTATTCAGCAGACTACGACTTCACGTAACCGACTAAAGAGCTAATGGAGATCTCCTCGTAGCATGCATTTCTTAGGAAGTCATAGATATGTCCTCATTTCCGAGTTTCAATTATTAATACAGCTGAAAGTTTTGATTTTTATGTTTCTACTATACGACCGTTTATAATGATATCACTGAGCTCGTATCTCTATCTCTTAAGTTTAAAACATGCAGCTCAGTTTGAGGTTTAATCGAACCAACATCAAAAACATCTGTTGGTATTGTGTAAACCAGCTTTTGAAATATGTCACTAGGCACAGGACGAGAAACAAGGGAACATTGACTTCTATTAAAATCTGGCGCCAAGACTAAAAATTAGATCACAGCTGTATTTCTGCTCTCCTGTCCCTTTTAGAAAATAGAGGAACATTTAGGGTAGCTCAAAACAAGTCCTATGAAAATTCAGGGAGAAAAAATCCCATGAAGTTTTGATAATAACTGCATATCATTTTCAAGAGAAATAAAATACTTTTCTTTAATTATAGAGAATGCGGAATACGCGTATGTGAATGAAAAAACAGTGTTGATGTTAATTGCAGGTGTTTAATGACAATAATTTCTATGACCATGGATTGAACGTGATGTTATTGAGGAAACAAGTGAGAGAGGGCCTAGGGAAATACCTTTATCTTAAGCTAAACCTTTTAAAAGGGGGGTGATTACAAATAGACGAGTCGATAAATTGGACAGGGGTGAAAATTCACGGTGAAACCCCATACCTAATATAGAACTTAACTGCCCCATGTGAGAGAAGCAAATGATTCGCTAGTTATATGCTGCCTGTATGAGGTCCTCACTAAGAAAAAAACTTAATGCCAAAATATTCCCGCAGCGTGCTGTGTGCAAGTTAATTTAACCCGACAAAACAATAACTCGTTCATTACACGGTGTTGAAATTTCCCGCAGTTAATTGCATTTATACAAAAGGATGTAGGCTATGATCACGGGATGATTTTGTTCATGAGTGTCGTTGGACTGATATCAGTTCGGATGACTTTAAATATACTTATTTTGCTTCGATCGTGTTTGGTAATACATTTTTAAGGCTATCTAAATGCCTCTCAGTCATAAGCTTTGACTTTGTGTTCTACCGCCTTCACTGAACACACAGCGAGATAAGTATTCTGAACTGCCCCCAAAAGTGAAACATCACACAAATATATGTAGAAAACTATTAAGCACGCTATTTACTGCTATTTTTACGTGCCCTAAATTAGTGAGTTAGTGCTACAAACGCAACAAAACATCGCGTAACAAGTCAGTTTACTAATTCTTGACTTGTGGTATTGGAGGAAGGACACCCCTATGCAAATGACTGCTAACTGCTGCTCTCTCCTCGGCTCTGATCCAAATAATCTCGTGACGGCTTCCTTGACTTTGAAGGGTGGCTCCCAATGGCAATAGGGCCGCCCCTGTGGTGAGAGCCATAGTGGAGCTCAAAGTTGGACAAAGTGACTGGCTGCTGCTTTGTAATATTTTGCTTTTGACGGATGGTGAAGATATTTTTCTGTTTGGTTTTCCGGCCCTTTCGTATTTGCCTGAGGGGAGGAGTGGCAAAGACAGGCTATGCGAGGACTTTAAGCTCAGGTGTGTGCCAAGATTTTCTGCCGATATTGGTAAGTGCTTTGAGGCAGGCGGAGTAACCTCTCTTCTGTCGCCATTTTCCACAGGATACTTCCAGGAAGGTAATATTCTGAAACGATCCGGACTGGGATGAATGATTGACTGTGAGTCGGGCCGAAGCGGTGGATGAAATACTCCATTTTGGATTGCATATTGTAATCGTTCCCAGTTCATCTCCGCCGTTCTCTTAATTTCTTCCTGGCTTAAGTCACGGTCTGTAAACAGAGGAAAAGGATAAGATAATCAAGTCATGACATGAGTTGTTTTTTAATTAGTATTGTCATGTATTATTGCAGTTGTATTCGTGACTAGGTGCAGGGTTGGATTCGCCCAATGCATTCATAGTCATACTTATTTAAATCGTGAGTGAAAATTTCTCGTTAAATTATCGTGAAGTGCATTGTATGTTTCTTAAAGTCACTCTAAATTCAAATGCACTGTGGGAACTCTCTGAAAAGAGCACGGCTTTTAAACACCCCGCCGCCCGCCCGGTAAGCTATTACTGCATAATTTTGTCGAGGGAAACCATGTTCCGTTGCCTCTTGCTACCAGCCGGCACATTCATCTAATAAGTCAAATGTAGAATTGTTTGGCGTTCTAGTGCAGATGCTGCCATCTGATTGGTTATAGACAGACAATGACAATGAGTCATAAGCCTGTTATGTTGGTAAGTTTTGAACTACTAATAGATCAGTTTACACTAAACGATTTGAATGTTCGCTTTCGCTTTTTGAGCGTCATGGCTGATCATCAAATATCTCGCGGTAGAAATCTTAAACTCATAATCTGCTTTTTGTAAAGATATGATAATAAACTGGGCTAATATCATACCATCATAAAAATTGATCTTCCTCGAGGTATCTATTGTCTCCTGCCAAGGGTCACTCAAAAGAGGACTGTGTCGTCGGGGACCCCTACACTCCCCTCCCAAGACAGCAAACACTTGGTCGTCTTCTAACACTCTATTGACGAACGAGCTTATAACTGCAGCTACGTAAGGCTCCCAGGACCGGTCGCCATGACAACGCGGGGTTCCCGTGACACTGACAATTGAAATCCATTCTTTTCGTAGACCCTTGATGCATTCTGAAACATCTTAAGTGTACAAAGATAGAGTCAGAGAAACAGACTGCATAAAATTTTTTGTCGTCGGCACATATCTAGTACACTAGAGAGGCAACAGAATATTCTCCCGTAAGAGAGGTCAAATTTTTCCCGACCGTCTGCAGCCGTTTGTACTTTAAAGTGAAGGCATGTGAATTTAATTTTAACAAAAAAGACTTTTCAACTAGTCTAATGTTGATATTGAGGATTAGTGGGTGTGAGCAAATCAGAATAGAGTTCTTTGTTTTTCCGTTTGCCGTCGCCAAACATCATATCCTGCCTAAACTCATTATTAATGCTTCATACACTTCCAATTGTCTAAGTTGTTCAAGTTCAGGAAAGTCCAAAGATCATATGGATTAAAGGCAATATAAATATTAACCCCTATTCCTCTATTTTGTTCCTCAACAAAAGGGCCTGCACAACTTGTTCACGCTGAACTTTCAAAACACGCAGTTCTACTAATTAATTTAAGACCCTTTCCGGCAACGCTGAGTTAAGAAAAGAAGGGAAAAACAATAGCATCCACGCACGAGTACATGTCTCAAAAGATCCTACTCACCCAAACTTGAAGTCTTGACAGCTACTGCACTGGCTTTCTCGTTTTTGGCAAAATCTCCCATCTGCAGAATTTTTCCAACATGGACAGCTTGTTTACGATATTTTGGAGGAGTCCAGCCATACTTACCGTTTTCAAACACACTGATTAAACACTCACTGCAGCCATAACTTTCAAGTTTTTCTTGTTTTGTGTCCCTTCGTAAAACTGCTTCTGCGACTATTATGTCACCGATTTCATGAGGTCTGTTCACAAGAGATTTGGCAAACCCCAAAAAGATACCAGCCCTTGGTTTGAGCTTCTTGATGGTCTGAACAACTGCTCCAGGGCCCCGACATTTGAGCAAGAAGACCTGCCGAGAGCCAATTTTCCCTGTGTAAACGTAGCCAGCGTCTCCAATCAGAACAGCTTTCAGCTCTTTCAAGACGTTTGCCATCGCCAGAAATATCTGCTCGTTTTCAGCTATTATCAGGGCGTTGGCAGGGACGTAAATTTGATCAAACTCAACTTTCTCATACGAGAGATTCTGCGGCAGTGGGATGTCTACTGACGGAGGTCTGCAAGGCAAGCCCGTCATGATGATCTTTCTCTATAGAACCTTTTGACAAAAATGAAACGGGTGATCCTCTTGCCGAAAAATATCGGAACAATTCACGAAAACCTTGACATGATTAAAAGAAAAAAAAGGTAGCGGGAATCACGTTTAATTTAAAGGAGGACTTAAAGGAAAGAATGGTTAAATATTTCGATTGCTATCTTTCAGGATTTAAGTTTGACTGTTCCGGCCTGTAGGTCCCTTCCTTTATTCCTATTATCATGTAGTTGTTTGATTTTTTTTCTCGCTTTCGCCCGAAGTGTTCCCCCCGCGGGCTGAAGTCAAATTGAATAATTTAATATCACCTGACCGATTGCTCTTGTAAAATTATTCTTACAAAGTTTGCTCAGCAATACATTCAATATCACCTCTGGGTTGAACAAAAACCGTAAATCTAAAAAGACATGCATGGAAAGTCGATTATTTTAGCCAAGAAAATAAACAAAAGCACAATTCTCAATTCCAACCGCGTTCTAAATATATCTTATTGCTAAGAATATCGAAATAATACATATGGTGCTCGATCTCTCAAATAAACTTCAAAATCACACAATCCCTCAATAAACACACAATCCCTGTACGCATCTTGACCGTAAAGAACTGAAAACATCTGCATGGTCAGAAAGACTCAAAAAGTGAAAATCAGCATGTTGCCATAATAATTACGATTTTTTACATGTTTTGACAGATGCCAACAAGTTTAGACAAGTAACCTTAAAATACAAATGCTTCCTTAAATGTATGCAAATGAGCTGCATTCCTGAGATCTTTTGTGAGAAAAAGAAAACCGCGTGAATTTTTGTCCAAATTCGACTCTGCGCGACTTGTTCAGCTTTTTCCACTTTAATTAAAACCGCTGTCAGTCTTTCAGGAAATCCGTTCAGGATAACGGCAGTAGAAGAACCACGTAATCCATTAGTACATCTATCAGTAAAGTGGTCTGACTTCGCGGTTCATTTATCAAAATTCTAAGTAAATGGTCGAAAATAGGTTAAAGCAAGAGATTGTGGCCGAATTTTATTCGACCGTGATTTAACTGTTAAATTGCGCCTCAACGAGAAGCCTATATTATTTCCGGACAGAGAAAACTGCAAAGCAATGTGTGGTAAGTTGATTATCCGTGAAATCTTCGCCATGATCAAACAAACACTCCATTCTTTTAAGATTCCACTGCGGTCATATATTTGGCGTACTTACTTCTTAATAGTAATCATTACTAATCAAATGAAATGTCATTTCACCTGAGTTCTGTCAAAACCCCCACCTCCTGACAAGCACTCCACCAGACAAGGAAGACTTATGAAAACAGACGCCTCACCCAGTTATTACATACGTCAATGATGAATCATACGGTTATTCTTATGCCAATTAGCTTTTGCGGTTACTCTGTTACGACTGTTATTGTACGACAGAGAGGGACTTTCCCTTCCAAAGTGCAATTTTTAGAACTTCAATAAAACCGCATGATTGACAAAAGGGCGATGAAAATGATGTTTTCTTCATATTAAAAGACCATCTTGTTAACATAATTGACATTCATATCTACAGTCGCAGAAAGAGTCCGAATCGCACATTTAATCGAGCTTAATTTCAGGTAATTATTACTAGTCGCAAAAGTGCTGAAATCTATAGTTCATCTTAAAATCGTGGATCGTCGCGCGCTTTCCTGAAAACCAGAAAAACGACTAACATAGCTGAGATTATCATTCGCAAAAGTGTTTGGGTTTTTTGTCGTACAACAGGGTTGAGCATACATTAAGCCATCTCCTTCACTCTGCATCCATACTAAGTCTTTCCTTAGCTGTGTACCTCACCTTGTACAAGCCGTTGAAAGTAGCTAAATTTGTATAAATTTCACTTTCTCGAATGCATTCAGAGAGTACTTCCGGTTTTGTACACAAAAATATGCGTTTATTTTGATTACATATCTTTTTTCCGACTAATTCAAAGAGCTATTTGAAATAATATCAAACTGATAAGGGTGGGGCTATAAATATAATGTAACCGTGTTTCCGGTAAATTATGCCTACAGGAAGTCAAACAAACTCCCAAATCCCATGGAATCAAGATTGACCCATTCAAATGGTAATAAGTCTCTGTCAGCTTTAATGTTAAACATGGCACCACTTGACCATGGTTCATTATTCATTCTTCATGACACATTTTCTGCACTCTATTTTCATTTAAATTACGCTCATTTCTTGATTTTGAGCCCAGAATAAAACTTACGTTATGTCTAGTTTTTATCACGCGCAATTGCTGATCTGCCAAAAAGATAAAATGTATACATAATATATCCACGTAACCAAAGCAAAAGGGCAAAATATTATCTCGTGAAACCACCCACCGTAGCTTTACAAACTTACTCCTTTATTCATGCTTATTAAGTTGCGTGATGGGTGCGCCAATCACATCAAGTAACAAATATGGCAAAGAGAAAAGACAAACACCGAGAAAAATGTCAATTTAATGAACACACAAGAGAGATGTTGCCAGATTAAATAAGACCTGTCTGGCTGTTCATCGGAAAAACCAACAAGAGAACAAACAAAGCCAAGTCCTTCAATTGTATTGATGTTTAAACTACTGATAACTCTTCTCTTTTCCTTTTTATTTCGGTAAAAATATCAACTGTCACTGATTAAAAGTCTCATAATCTTTTGCTGTTCAGAAAACTATTAGTATTTTCTTTAAGACAACAACAAAACCACTCATTTCATTATCAATTGCTGCAGTGCTCCTAATGATCTGTTATGAGGGAAAACAGGCCATTTAAAACCTCTCAAAATATCCATTCTCGACCTCATATATGGTATAAGTTTTTCACTTTTGGTAAAGTGTTCCTCCTCTTCATTTTATGACACATTGTTGTATCAGAATTCTCTCTGCAGCTGATCATTTTGAGGATGAGTCTTTGGTTGTGTTGGCATACACCCTCACAGGATATTCCATATTTTCTTCTAGAGCTCTTTTGACTGTTGGAAAGAGCCACAAAACATTACTACAAGTGAAAGTGTAGTGAGTATGCACCCACACAAACCAAACTGTCTTGCATGAATTCGGGAATAAGGTGCAATTGTCAGAAGCTGGGGGAACTGGAGGGGAGGGGGACAACAGACAAGACACCCCCCTCCCCCCAATTAGACAATCTAGTACACAATAGTATCTGTGCCTATCTTTGCTATCTCTGGAATTTATGTAAATTCATAAAAATCTGTTTAAAGGAGAAATTCCCAACCATATGGAAGGCATTATTGAGTTCTAGCAGTGATGTTTCAAGTCTCTTGAAAAAACCATAAAAAATACACTAGATTAATCATCAAAAACGTTGTATATCATGATCAAAAATTGCTTTTTCTTCAATTTTTCCCAGATTACTTAAAAGCAGACTCATACCATGCTCTCAATTCAGATTGCATCTACATTTCCACAAAGACCTTACACATTTCAGAGTCCACTCTGTATGGCAAGTAAGTTCCAATGTTTAAACTGTTACTCAGCCGCCCATCAGTTTGCAGTGTCTTGGAGAGCAAAGCCGAGAGCCTTTTGAGACAGATAGCAAGAGCGTCAAAACTCATCAATGATGAAGATTCTTGTCTTTGAGGAGCACCCTTCCACTGCAGATAAAAAGTAAAAGCTAACATCCATGACACTCCTTTAAGTAGATGGAGAGAAAAACCTTCATTGTTTCTGTTAATCAAATCAAAAATTGAACAAGAGAGAGACAAGAACATCATCAGTGTTTCAATTGAAGTAACTTCAAGTTAGAAATTCTCCAAACGCTAAGGCCTTAAAAATGTAGCCTGTTGCTATTGGGGTTATTTAAAAAATTATCATAGCCTGTTGCTATTGGGGTTATTTTTGTTCTTAAATCAGAAAGCACAATTTCATCCAACAAAAAATATATTCTAAGTCTAGACCAGTTCTTGGTATTTGTTCTTTATTTTATTTCAGTTCTGAAAATACTTTTATGATGTAAGCAAAAAAGAATATAAAAGCAAAACTGAATGAAGGTGTATTTGAAGAAAGCCAATAAAAGTTGTCTCTCATGCCGCAGTGTGAGCCAATGGGCTTGCATACATCAAACAATCACATTGAGAAGCTATGATCTGATGATTTCAAGAGTAATTGTTACATACCTTATGCACTACATATAAATTGACTATTATTTTTTCAGATGATGCACTAGAGGTCCAGGAAAAATGCCCCATTTTCCGTCTCTCATTATAGGGTGTCTTTTTGTCCACTAGTCTGGCTTCTGGAAAGTTTTTGAATAGTTGACGAGCCACAACTAAAATGTAAGTGAAAGTTAGTTTACAATAATAAAAAGACAACAACAACTGCCAGCTGCAGTGAGTTTTGATCAAAGTTCAAATATAATTTAGATTGCTTGCATGCAATTTAGAGCACTGAAAATGCATGTTATAACAAAATATGTTGACATGTTTTTTTTTTTAATAAAAGTTACATACAATCAGGTGGGATGCTGTGCAGGCAGTCACAAAAGCACAGGATCACATCACACTCAAGGAGACTTTCAATACTTTCACTAGCTGTAAACAATAAATCATGATAGATGTCAGCACAAAAATTGTGTATACATCTAAAATTAGATAGACTGATATGACACAAGGGCATATTCAGATGTTAAATATAATTTGACTAAATAGGTTTGTTGCCCTTAGTCCTCCAACTTTCAAAACCTTCCTGGTCTCGATAAAGGTAGAAGCCCTCTGTAGATGGATCCTTCCAAGATCTGCAAATTTGAAGTTATTTGGTTAAATTCTGTCAACGCAAGATACGTTGAAAGATGCCAAGAAGCTTTTTAAAAACGCATTACCCAGCAAATCCCATTCCATTTGCATGATATTTCCAATGTCTCTTTTTTTGTCATTACTAAGACAAATCCAAAGAGCATAATTCTTGTGAGTCACTAAGGCCCATCGATACATCACCTTGTGGTCTATCTCGTTTTTCTCTAAAATATGGCGACACCCTCTCAGATGGCAGCTCTATATTCTCCATGAATGGTTTAAGAGGTTCAAATAACTCCTCTCTCTCCCAAAAATGTCTTTTTTCTTCCTCTTTTCTTTCCTCTAACTTTGAGTTCTGTCGCCTTCTCTTTTCCAGCTCATTTTCCAGTTTTTCCATACTTCCCCATTTCGAAATAGCGACGGACTCTACCTCGGACCGTTTAAATATTTTCATGGGAGCTAGAAAAGAAGATCGAAAACATAAAATATAGAATGTAAACACTCTTTCCAGCACAATTAAACCCACTCAGGTAGAAAATAAACCCGTGCTAACCATAACTTTTATTGACGGGGTTATCCTTTAATGTAAACTCTAATCCTTCCAAATCGTTATCTACAAGCAGGTATTTCCTTTTCGCCAACCCTTTAGAGACTACTTTATCACGACCGGTGTCGTTCAAATTATCCGCCATATTGTAAAGGACAGAGGAAGACTAGTGCCATTCCATACCGGTTCTCCCGAGTTTAACGCCTGGCTGTTTTCATACACGTGCGACTTGCCTTTAGAGTTGTCTTTGTAGCGCATGGCGAGGAAAACTATTTATTTTTGACCATCAGGACAACCTTAACTGATTATTTCGAGGATGGGGAAAGGAAAAAGGGTACGTAAATTGTTTCAGTCTGTAACCATCTTCGAAATATGAGACAAGGATTCCGTAAAATATTCTCTCATCCATGCGTTGTTTAGATTGGTTGTTTGTGTTTTATAGTTAGCGTTTCTTCTCATTTGCACTCTTTAGAAGAAGAGAAAGACCCATCAAGATCCAACAGAAGCAGAAATCAACAAAATACCTCACAGTTTTGTCATGCACAGGGGGGATGTGGGGAAATGTGTGCTTCAACTTGAGATGGACTTGAGACATGTTATGGAACCGTACACTGCAACTAATTTAAAGGTAAGGTAATGCACATTAAGCGTATTCACGATCTTTATAACGCTAAACTTAAGGGTTATTTGCAGTAATTGCTTGCACAGGGTGGAATCCAATTTGTTAGCGAAGTGATGTTAAACCATTTAACACTTCTCTGACTGTGTGCATTTGTCTTCGTTGAATTAAAAATTTCAGGTAAATAAGAAAAATGTTTTGAAGGACTTTGTTCATGTTGCTGGCCCTCTGGGTGTGACGCACTTACTGATGCTGTCGAAAACTGAAATTGGAACATATTTGGTGAGTAAAGATCAAATGGAACTGAAAACAATGCTGCATTTACAATCAAACTCTCTGTATCTTTCTATCAATAACAGTTACACTGGTGCATTGAAAACCAGATAATTATATTATAAGGATTTTTTTGTCCAGTTGTAGATGATTAATTTGTTTGGTTGGTTATATAGAGGTTTTGCCGCATACCTAGAGGACCAACACTGACATTCAAAATTCAAGAGGTAAACTGATCTCTTAACAGTATTAATAAAGGCATGTTTGCTGTAATAAAAGTTCATCTTTTTTGTTGGTGCATAATTATGGAAACCAAATTTGTAGATGGTTAATTTTGCAAGGTCCCTTTTAGAGTGAAAGGGATCACTTTACAAGGTCAATTTAACATATGATGTCTTATCTGGGAAAAACTAATCCCTTTTCCACTTTTACTGCAGTATTCACTTGTGAGGGATGTGATATCTTTACTTAAAAAACCCAAGACATTTGGAAGTCAATTTAAGAAGCCTCCTTTGGTAAGATGGAGTCATTTGTGTTAGTCAAACAGGGCTTTGTCATGGAAAGAGTACAGAAAATAAAACAATTGACAATGGAATTTACTAGATAGAGTGTAACAGGGGGACTTCTATCCAAGTGGGAAGAATAAATTAGAATAAAAAGAAAATGTTTTGAACAAGGCTACATGTACCAAGGTTGATGGAAATAAATTATTAATTTTAATTACACTTCAAAACGTCCCAAAAAATCAAGTTCATCTTAGTAATTGGAAAATGATTACAGAAGAGGGGCTTTTTTCCCAGAGGAGAGGAGGATGGCTCTGTCTAATCAGATGTACAAGTATTGTTCTCTTTTAAGAGGCAAATGGGAATGTAACCATGTGGGCTGATAATATATAGCAAGGTTTGGTGTTGGAGGGATTTTGGAATTCATTCCATTTTCCTTTATGATAATGATTTAATACTTGTGTAGCGCCTTACACATATGAATATTATCTAATGTGCTATGACTTCTTTTCTTAGCTGGTGTTGAATGGATTCTCCACGGATAGCTTATCAATGAAGCTGATGACCACAATGTTTCAAAATTTATTTCCTTCAATCAACATCCAAAAGGTAATTTAAATTTGTTTAAAATAGTTATTAAAATTCAAAAATTGTGAAATGAGATTTATTCAAAATGTAAGGATGAAATAGCCTATGTTTGATATGTGTGAACACTTTGCCACATTTCTTTGTGAAAATGTGAGTCAACCATCTAAAATTTGTGGGAGAATAATTATACCTAACAGAATGGATATGATCAATCTACCTTGATCAATCTACCCCCATTTGTGGCCACTTGAGTGAAAAAGCCCTTGATGGTAAGAGGAGGGAAGAATACGGGAAGAAGAATACTCAAATGCTTTTATTATAATTAAACTCCTTAACTATCACATGGCAGACTTATTCTGATTTTGCAGAGGGTAATATGCAGCTTGCACTGGATGAATGTTTAATGGAATCAATATTACTTTGTAGATGACGGCAGATTTGAATTGTGGTCAAACTTTCATGAATTATGTTAAAGTGCTTTAACTCTTGGTGAATTCACTTCCTTACTTCAGGTTCACCTCTCAGGAATAAGAAGATGCGTTTTGTTGAATTACAACTCAGACACTAAAATTATTGACTTCAGGCATTAGTAAGTCTAGTGTTTGGCACTTAAAGCAAGTGAATATTTTATTTAGTCTACATTTAGTCATTCAAACTCCAGAGTAATTGGTGCCATTATTCTTTTATTATACTTATTCTTTTGTTATATTCACTGGTATGCATCATATAATTGTACAATGTCTTGTACATGTAAGTCAGACCTTTCCATTGATTACAAGTTTCCCAGGGCCAATAGCCAATAAGCTAATGTCTCCGTTGATATGTTTAGAAGTTTTTAAAATTGCCTTGGATTAATTTGTAAACAGTTTAAAAAATTTTGACAAACTGTTTGTTATGTGCTTGTGGTTTCCAAACTGAGTGTGTCACAGACTGGTTTCAGACATGATTATGACCACAGAAAGTACTGAACCCCCCAAAACAATTAAAGAATGATGATTTTAGATATATGAAATTCATATATTTGCATTGTGGTGAAGAGATGAAATTAAGAGATCCTCGCAGCGAAGAACACTACTGAAATGAGTAGTTGAAAATAGGACCTGAAAAAAAGAGGTCATGGGTTCAAATCCCGTATGGGCCTGAATTTTTTTCAGGTCCTATTTTCAACTACTCGTTTCAGTAGTGTTCTTAGCTGCGAGGATATCTTAATTTCAACAATTAAAGAATGTTTTGTGGTTCAAAGAAAAGCCAATTAGGAATCAGAAAACCAAACTGCAACTTACAACCACAACTTACTACTGGTGGTTTGTGCTTTTAAGGTTTGCTTGCATTTGCTAAACTTCATTGTGATTGATCAATACATAATTTCTGACCTATCAGATTCAAATCAAAGTGGTTATACATCTTTCTGAGTTTCACAATAAAAATACAATAGCATTGCCTTCCCTTTACTTGAAATTAAAATGCAATGGATTGCAAACTTAAGATTGAAGTCTTGTCAGCATTTAACTTGAATTCTGTTTTTCTTTTTTAGTAATATTCAAGCTGCTCCCATTGGAATAAGCCGTGGAGTGAAAAAACTGATTCAAACAAAACTTCCTAACATGGCACAACTGAGTGATATCAGTGATTATGTCCTGAGGTATAGCTATATCACACAGCACTTGATATTTTTGGTAATGTTGTTTTCTGGCAGAGATAAAATTAAGAGAAAATGCGGGAATTGTTGGGTAAACATGGAGTAAAGGTCACTTGTCTCCAATAGATTACAAGATTACAAAATCAAAATAAACCATGTTTTGAATGAAATCATTGATGAGTTATTGGTCTTCAAAGGTTAACCTCAGTTTTAGTCACTGCAATAAGAGAAGTTTGAAAAAATCCATGCTTATTTCAGTCATCGCTTCTGGCTAGGACTTAGATTACATATTATTAACCTGTGCAGATCAATTTAGGACATTTTAGATAACATAACTTCAGCAAAATTTTAAACAGTTGATATGTTAAACTGAATGTGACATATACTTCGAACCATAAGGAAAAAGTATCAAATGAATGTACTCATTCTAATTCAATTGTGGCATTGTGGTTGTCTTACCATAGAGGTGGATGTGGTTATGGCTCAGAGAGTGAAGGTGAAGAACCAGTTGACTCGAGGGTGACCTTACCACAGAATGTACCAGGAAGGGGAAATGTTAAGGCACAACAAAGTGCAATACGTCTTACTGAGGTACAACTATTTGGATATTTGAATAGTCATTTTTGTCTGTATTGCTCAATTGTGCTGATTTGCAGCCTGTTTCATATAGTTAAAAAGTAATATGCCTTCTTTCTTCTTTTTAGCTTGGGCCCCGAATGAGCCTTCAGCTTGTGAAGATTGAAGAAGGATTGTGCTCAGGGGAGGTTCTTTTTCATGAATTTGGTGAGGGCTTGTCGTAAAAAATGTTCTGTTATCAAATACATTGTATTAGGCACCATCAAATTTGAGCCTCAAATTTGATCTGTTCCAGATAGTCTTCTAAGTACTTTAAATTCAGCACATCCTATTCTTATAATATTTGGAAGTAAAACAGGATATTTTCTGGTTACTTAAGACATTTCCAGTGACCGTAGTTCTACGGTTGGAGGGTACAATAAATGTAACTTTAGTAAAAAGCAGAACACAAACTAATAACAACAGTGTTTTTTTTTTCTTTTTTTAAGTGAAAAAGACAGCAGAGGAAATAAAAGAGATGAAAAGGCGTAGAGATGAAGCAAGGTATACAACTCATGTCCTAGTGGTCATGAGTGATTTTTAAAAAAGGGATTTTATGCTTCACTTTGTCATGTATTCATTATTTTGATCTGAAACAAACTAAGAGAGTTGAAAATTAAACTGGTTTGTAAAACACATACATTAAACCTAGATTAAATTGGAACCACAAAATATGAGTTTTTGGCTCTCTGGGAAAGAATTATTTGCTGCCTTTAGGTAAATGGATATTTGGTTAGAACAATTTATTTTTTATTTTGCTTGAATGTGAGTATTTTCTTTTTTCTTCTTAGAGGCCAACTGCTTTGTTTGTGTCAATAATGAATACCAGTAACTTAAAAGTTTGTTTAAAAATAAAAGCTGATGACAATTTTTTTTAACTGATTAAAAACTCTTATTCATCAGGAAATTAAAGGAGCAAAGAAAGAAACAGCAACAAGAGAATGTCAAGAGGAAAGAAAAAGAGAAAGCTTTAAACAAGTATGCTATCATGAAATGTTATTTTCTCTGTCAGTGATAGAAGTGGTTACTCCTAAGTACAAATATGTTCCCAGACTAATTAGTAAGAGGAAAAACTCCTTTTTTTTATAAAATTCATGTCATCTATATGCTGCTTTATAACATTTACTGCTTCTCTCTTTCTGAATTTACTCAAGTGGGAAATGTTCTTGATTTAACAGAGTGCGAAGTATAGAAGGACAGAAAAAGAACCTAAAGCTTAAGGAAGGTGGTGATAACATTGGTGAGTGTCTTTTGATATACAGATATTAAGTGCAGTTACAAGCATCATCAGCTCTTGCCAATATAGGAATCTACATACCTCACAGTACAGGAACCTTTGATTTGTGTGTAATGCTTTGCTTCATGTACAGCATTCTTTGCTCATGTGCAGCACTTTGTTTTCACTTTAATTGACTTAAAGACAGTAAGATGTTCTTACATGACTGTCATTATAATTTTTTAAGCCAAGTTAATACATGCAACCAAACTGTGAATTATATGACCTTGTATGGTAAACTGGGGACCCATTCTCCGCAAATATGCCAACAGGCAGCTTCTTAAGTGGATAAATAAGATGGGATTTTATTTTCCATGGATGGGATGAAGCAATTCACATGGCGCATTGTACTTATAGACAAAATGTTACAAGAAACAAACAGCATTCTCTTTATGACAGATGATGTTAATATGGACACAGGTGACATAGTGGATAATGATGATGCAGACTGGTACAGACAGGAGGTTGGCGAAGAACCTGATCCTGGTAAATTCTTTGTTTGTCACATCTTACCCCCTAATCTCTAGATAATCTCCTTTTATCTACTTTGAAAAGGTTATCTCAACTATTCTTCCATTTCAGAGCTTTTTCCAAAAGTCCACAAAAAGAAAAGGCCTAGAGATGTTGCAACAGTTCCTGGTAAAAAGAGGAAACATTCTGAAATAGTTGATAACTCAGAAACAACCAAGATATCCTTAAAAGAAACAGAACATCGAAAATACAAGCAAGAGAGAAAAGTCAAGAAATCTGTGAAATTGAAGCCATTAAAAAAAGGTGTCAAGAAAGGAAAGAAAGTTAAATTTGGAAGGAAGTCAAAATAGGGAAGAAAATAAGAAAACCAATGATGCGTCTGATCCTGAAACATAAATGTATAACTTGACTGGTATTGATCGAGGATACAGACTCCTTTTGTCACTGTTCTTTTAATATACAGAGGAGTGAGTGGAGTTTAAAAAGATTTTTATAGGAACTTGCTGACTTTGTATTAAAATTTAGAATACAAAAAAAATGTAATTTGCAGTTATTAGGGTTGCAGGGATGGCACAGTGGTGAGAGTGCTCTCCTAACACTGCTGTGGCCCAAGATTGATTTTCATACCTAATGTTAAATGTGGGTTGAGTTTGTTGTTGATTCCAGTCCTTGTTCCAAGGGTTTTCTCTGGATCCTCTGGTTTCCCTCCCTCCACAAATACCCACATTCTAAATTCCAATTCAACCTAGAAACAGTGGATAGGAAGAGCCACCTCGTGGAATGTCCTGTCAAATCCCTTTTTCTTAAATTTAACTTTGCAATGATGCTAGCCTTGTGTTTAGCTTTCAAATGCAATTATATTTTGCTCTGAAATGTTACAAACCAAACTGGTTAGTGTCAAATTGGAAAGCTAAATGTCACTGAGATGTCAGATGTCATACTGAACACACCAATTGGTAATTCTTTACTTTTCCAACATAAGATGTCAAACTCTGAAACTTGTTAACACTCTGACAATACCACCCAACCCGTTGTCATGAGTTTTCATTCCCCATTATGCTCCCTGTCCAATCCTCTCTCCTTCCCTAATATAGACTTTGCACCAATTAGGTATTGTGTGCTTTGGGATTAACACCATGAGTAAGAACACAAATGAGGGTTGAATGAGGAGGAAGTGCATCCTTAGTTGGATGATGTGTCAAACTTTTATTTTGGGTTTTGGAGAGGGAGGGGAAGGCTTTTATTTATTGGGTGGGCCAAACACTGAAGGTCACATCATTTGCAAGGTGAGGTAAGAGTAGAGGAGGTAAGGTTGTTTACTGGTTGTCAGCATGTGCCTACAATGGGAATCAGCAAAACAACAGGCATGCAAAAAACTGCAGGGACCAGTCAAAGAATTGGAATGCAACAACAGCTGTTTTTCAGTTGCCTCTTCCTTTACCTTTGCACCACTAACTGAAAGCCCCAAACAGGCTACCATGTCCAAGACAAATACTTCCGTGGGTAGCTTTAAGTTTTATTCAGTAACAAGACAGGGCATACAGTTAGCATACACTAACACAACTGTCAGCCTTAGTAAAAGAAGTTACATTTCAGACTCTATGTCACCATTTGGACATGAATGCCATATTTCTTTACACCAAAAGAATAACAAAACCTTTATATGGCAACAAAAATTATCCTGACCACTTCCAGAAGATGACAAAATCAGAAAGAGATCAGGGGCTTACTTTCTTGCTTTAGTTATTTAGTGGAAACCTTCCTTTCCTCTCAGAAAAAAAAAAGTTCAATAATATGTAGGTTCTGAGTGAAAGCTAATTCCTCAAAAGAAAAATAATAGTAAACAAAAGCAAGGCTTTTGAATCTAGACATAAATGATTGCAGCTGTGTCCCTCTTTGACAGGTTATACAACCTTCACTATCAAAAAAAAGACAAAAACTACAATTCAAAATTGAATATGATTAATATGACCTCATGTATATGTATACAAATGCAAGTACAAATTCAATTTTTCTAATGAGGTGAAGAACACAAAACTTTCTTGTGTTCATGTGAAAAAAAGTTTAGCAGTATTTGATATACCTTGCAAGGACTGAACACTAACTATATGACACTCATTTACCATGGTCTAACAGTCTATAGCAACAACGCCGTTTACCACGGTTAAACTATGGTCATACACTACTTTATATAGTTAGCAATAGAAATACCTAGGGTTCTACCATAAACTACAAGCAACAGCTTTACATATTATTTGCAATAAATCATATTGAAGACGGAATATAGTGAGCCATTTTCATGACTAGACCCTATTAGTCAGCTTCATTGCCTGAAAAACAAAAAAAAAAGAGCAGTGTGAAAAATTGTTTGATGGCCAAAGATGTCCACCGTATGCAAAAATATGAGACTCTTCAAGTAAAAAGGTTTTGCTTGACAAAGCCCATAAAAACATTGTTGTGATGACCTCAGACTTTGATTGCTTGTTCCTTATTTTCAACTGATTGTACACAAGGTTTATGTCAGTTGTAGGCAACCAAAAGTGGAAGTTTAGATACTAAAAGAGTTATATCTTTTAGATACTAAAGAGTTATAGTGTCCAATTAAGATCACCTTATTTTCCACTGACAAGTAATTTCATACCTTGCTGATATCAATACCAGTGAGTGCCTCCACAGATTTTGGCAAATTGGCAACAATTTCCAGGATTTCACCAGTGATTTTACTAGCACCAAGTTCACACTTTCCGTTGGAGACCATGACAATCTTCTTACACTGTGAGAGAGGTGCTGCCACTTCAGCTGCAATCTAAGAAACCACAATCATTAGATGAATCTCATCCAGAAAGACAGCCTCTTTTACAGCAATTAAGAGATAAAACAAGACAGTAAGAATCGATTGTGAAGTCTGATGTTCCAACTCACATTTTGAGAACTTGGGTAGAGGCCATCAAAGAAGCCAAGTGCCTTGGCTCTGAGAATGACTTCTGCTCAGGTTGTTGAAATGTCAATTAATGTCATGTTAATGTCACTCTCAACTGGATGATCAGTCAGCACAATCAACAGTCTCTCCCTGGTTCAAACCACTATCTGGCATCAAAGAATGCTGATGTTACAAGTGACATACCTTTGGCATGGTTGCCAGAACCATGTCAACAACAGCAGCCTCTCTATACTCTTTCCAAGCATCTGCTTTCTTGGCCATCTGTTCAGCTTCTGCTTTAGCTTTTGCTTCAATGGCAAAAGCTTCAGCTTCCCCTTTCACCTGTTACAATACATAAAAATGGTCATTCATACAAGAACTTTCAAAAAAGAAAACTTGGAAAAAGAGCTCCAAAGGTAGGTCTTTTATTAAATAAAAATCTTAAAAATAATCCTTATTTATAAGATCAATTCTGGGCAAGGACTAAGGAGTATGATCTCTGAATTGACCAATGTGACCTATGAACAGGATAAGAAATAGTCTCCATAACCACACTGATCTGATATAACTAATTCTCACCCTTATAGCTTCTGCACTGGCCTCAGCTTCCAGTATCACACGATTTCTAAACCAAAAGAAAGCAAAATATTGATACAGAATACAAAATGTATTGAACTTTAAAACCAATATTTTTGGTTTAACTAACTTCACTGAACAAATTAATCAGACTTTCAGCTGATACTATTTAAGTATTTTGACAAGGTATCTACTCACCGGTTTGCCTCAGCAAGCTTCTCCATTTTATACTTGTCTGCTTCAGCTGGCCTCTTGATGGTAGCTTCAAGCTCACGGTCCTTCCGTGAAATTTCCTAACAAAAATGTATCACATATTATGCAAGAAACAAATTACAAATTCCATTAAAAAAAGATGGTTATCACAACATAACATTGCACAGAACATGAACATGACTACTTGACAGGAAACAAAAATTAACATTCATGAAAACTTGCATACTCCTTTTTGGAATTTCTACATTATTCTTGAAGGAATTTGAATATTGTTACCTGCTCTTGAACATTGATCTGCTGTGCTCTCTCCACCACTCTGATCTGCATTTCTTCTTCCTTGATTTTCTGTTTTGTTATAGAAGCCTGGAGGGCATATGCCAATTCGGACTCTGCTTTCTAAAATAGGGCAAAGAGAAAAATGAGCAACTGCATGGATTAGCATTCATTATCATGAAGGTGCATCTGCAATAGGTACTATCCAGTAGCTTAAAACTGTAGAACATTGAATATCAATCAGTTCTTAGTCTTGGTGCCATACTGAATTGATTGTAAATAATAATAATAATAATAATAATAGTAGTTAATAATTAAAATAATAATAATTTATTACATTTATATAGCACCATATATATTACTCTACAGCACTTCACAATCTTGAAAAAAGAAAATCAAAGAAAAGTATAAATAAAAAAATAGGTATTTACAAAGATAAAAATGTAAAATGTATAGAAAAGAGGAATAAACAAGTAAATGAATAAAAAACAAAAATGCACATTATGTATGTAACTAGTGCAAGTAGGCCTCTTCAAATAAAAATGCCTCTAGGAATTTCTTAAAAGCATTGATGTTCGTGCATGTCTTCAGTTCTTTCGGTAAGGTATTCCATAGTTTAGGTCCCCCATAGCCCACTGATCTTCCTCCAAAGGACTTGTGCTTGATGGCGGGGATCACCAAGTCATTGTTGCCATCAACCCTTGTTCTTTTCATAGGTCTCCTCTTCATAAGCCCCTCAAGGTAAGTTGGTGCCTGACCATTTAACGACTTGAAAGTCAATATTAGAACTTTGTAGCAAATACGTTGATATACAGGCAGCCAGTGAAGTTGTTTAAGAACTTGAGTTATGTGTTCATATTCACCATGTTGAGAGATGAAACATGCAGAGAGATTCTGAACCCTGGTGAAGTGCTTTAGTGTTGACTCTAGCAGACCATAGAGAATTGCATTGCAATAATCAAGTTTAGATGTAATCATTGAATGAACCCCTGCCTTAGCTGCAGTCTCATTAATACAACATCTGATCTTGGACATATTTTTCAGCATGTAGAAGCATTTCTTTGCGACATTTCAAACATGTTGTTTTGAGGTTAAGTCACTGTCAGAGTCAACACCCGGAAGGCGAACACACTTAGTGACATCAACTTCCTCGTTACCAACAGTGAGTGATTGTAGTTCCATCATATTACATCAAGGTCCACCTACTGCCATTATTTCAGTTTTACTGTCGTTTAACTTCAACATGTCCGTTGACATCCATTGTTTGATCTCAGCAAGAAGAGTTTCCATCTTGTACTTTGTCATAAAACATTTTCCCTCAAAAACGTGATATAAAGTTGGCAGTCATCTGCATAAGCATGGAATGTGATACCATGACTACGAGCGATATCACCAAGTGGGACCAAATACATTATGAACAGTTTTGGACCTAAGAGACTGACCCTTGGGGCACCCCAAAGTTTAAGGCCTTAGAATCAGAGAGTATTCTGTCAATGGCAACCCTCAGCTTCCTTCCATCTAGATAGGATTTGATCCAGTGAAGGCATCTACCAATAATTCCAAAACAATGTGCTAGTCTTGCTAGTAGTATCTGATGGCTGATCATATCGAAAGCCGCATATAAAATTATCAAGACAATCAAGACAAGCAACAGGAAAGAGTTAATCATCAGTGCAAATATTTCCTTGTGTATTCATTACACACAGAGTTGCTGTAAGTATTACAGAAGTTCCACTTTCTATCTGATTAAAAAAATAATCAACTTATATATAAGGTTAAATATACATACTTTGGTTTGAACTTCTATATCATATGCAGCCTTCTTCAACTCATAATCCCTCTTAGCTTTAGCAATCTCTGTATCATTCTCATATTTGGCCCTCTGCCTTGCCTCCTCTGCCAGAGCTTCCTATAATAACATCATAATATTAACGATTAGCTGTAACATACAAAGTTTAATTCTCTCTCTCACTAAAGGTCTCTTTGACACTGAGGCACCTTCCTTGAAAACAATTTTATGAACAAAAGTTTTAACCTTAATTCCAGAGTCCCTCTTTGCTTCAGCCTCACCGATTCTTGCATCTCTCTTGACTTGTGCAGTCCTGGCCATACCAAGGGCTAGCAGATATCCCTGTCATAAATAAAAATCATTTAATAAATGTTTCATTAACTAACATGCTCCTTTAAACACAATGCAAAAGTTAATACAAACATTGTGCCACATAGATTTTAAAGATACATAAAGGCATGCAACTGTGTGAGGCAACATAAAATCCATTGTTGGGAGTTGTTTTATGCCTTCATACTAGAGTTGTAATCCTTGAAAGATTTTACATAAGACAGTGAGAAGATACTATTTAGGTGGACTTTTAGCTCAAAATTAATTGTGTAAGTTGTTCAGCACCTTCTAATATCTACTGTTTTCAAGAAATGTGATGTAAGATTTGTCAATCATTACCAACATGCAGATCATACCTCATCATCTCGAATGTCCTTTATGGTGTAGCTTACAACACTGACTCCCATGTTGACCAAATCAGACGATGCTACCTAAAGATTGGACGATAAAAAATAAATTTACTACATGAAAGTCTTCTATGCTAACACATCATGGTAAATGCCTGAAAAAAAATTGATACAATATTGTATTCAAGAACGAAACTCCAGTGCATGGATAATATGGCATTCCACATGAGATTTTAAGACTGTTCTCTAATTTGGCATCTGTCCATTTCTAGCCAAGGAAACATTTACAAATCACAACAAGTTCAATGGAAACATAAGTTTCAGATAATGATATAGTATCAACTGTATATAGCTACATCACACTATAAGGTTGCAAAGACTAAAATGTAATATGATTGTTTTTTAAAAGTGTTGAAATATGTTTATGTAGATGACAATATTTCAAATTTTACAGCCTTGCAAAATGACGTTTTTAAAAAAGACAAGAATAAGCTGCTCTTTGTTTACCTCAAACACACTCTTAGAGAACTTCTTTCGATCTTTGTAGATTTCCTGTTTACAACAAAGCGCAAGTCAAGTCAATCCTATCAATGTTTAGTTCACCACTCATGCATCACACTGAATTAAGTGTTAAATTTATTGTATCTCACTCCAGAAAGTGAACAAAAGGTATCCCTTCTGTCAATCCTTGCACTTCAGTGCATTTTTTCAGATAATTTAACCACAGATGTAACCCTGTATTTAAATCAAACTATGTTTTTTTTGTAATGTTTCCTATATAAACAGCTTTCAAAGAACAATCAAGGTCACATTTCTTTACCTCCACTGTCATTGTACCCATGATGGCTCTTTGATGACCTTCCTATAAACCAATGATTGAATAGATCATGAGTTTTACATAACAAAGGTCTATGCCTTGTTTCAAACAAGTGCTTTAAAAAGGTTTAAGGTGGATCACAGAAATGAAGCCACTTAGTTTACTTCTATAAAATGGAAGTGGTATCAAAGAATGATTTCCATGTGTATCCACTCGCATATCAAATAGCGAACCCTAAAAAAGCTCTAAACTTGGATTACTGTTGGAGTCAACCACAGAAGGGATATCATCTTGAAATGGCTCTCACCAGTGCAGTGTAAACTGTTGTATTCATGTTTAAAAAGAAGGCAGACAGCATTATGTAATCTTACCAGTGTTTCCAAGGCAACAGCACGCACTTGTTCTTGAGTTTTTCCCAAAAACTGCTGACAGGCTGCATACAGCATTTCCTGATTTTGGCCTTGAATCTTCACCTAAAACAACCAAACCCAATAAAAGAATAAATAAGCCCAGAAACAGATGTAATGATCAATTATGTATATTTCCTGTGAAAATATTGAACTCCTTACATAGGGTAGCAATGGGTGATGTTTATTTTACATGTACATGGGTTTGCTGATCCACAGAGTTTGACAGGACAGACTGATGAAAGTTTCCTGCCTGACATGGTGTTAATCTTACTTGAGCTATTCCTGTGACTGAGATTGGCACTCCATGCCTTGTGTAAACACGCGGTGATTCCACATTCAATGTCATTGTGTTGAGAGAGATCCTATACACAGAAAATAAATATAAGAAACACAACCTTGTAATTGTTTATTCACTCCTCCTCTATTTTCAAGCATCATTTTTTCACAGCAAGTCAGCAAAAAGCCACCTCAAATTTGTCCTTTATCCATGTACTTATCCACATGAAAACTACTCCACTTCTTTGATTTAGTGTGTTTTTATTCAGCATTTTTTTTCTACAAAGCAACTCAGCACAAGTTTCAACTTAGTTAAAAGATACACTTTATTTTCCAACTGTTGATTTGAACGAGAATCATGACGTAAGTGTGCAAAACATAAAAAAGTGCCCGGTGAGCCAGCACTGATATTGACATCTATGAGTTTTGCTTGATGTAAACAAAGTTACAGTAGCTGGTAAGTGGCTTTTTCCAAAAAAAAGAGAAAGTCTTAAAAAAAAGGTTACAGATTTCAACTCTGGAAAACATTGGAGTGAACTGAATTTATCCTACATTCTTTTCAATTTCATCAAAAATGCCATAGTCATGACAAGAATGTCGAACTACGCATAGCTGGAAATGACATCTGAAAGGAATTGAACTATATAAAAAATGAAATGGTGATTCTTACTTTTGTAGCTTTTGAATAAAGGGCCATACGAATATTCGGCCACCAGAGACTAATGCTGATTTACGGTGACAAACCCCTGAAGAAGGAACGGAGAAATATCATCTCAAAGTTACAGAAACGTGATTAATTTTCGCGATCATTGTTGCTCGAACGTAAGGAAACACCTGCATGATACTCGATTAAATGTTACGCTTTTGACAACGTGGATTTTGTTAAAAAGGCACAAAAAATAATAATTGTAATGCTATTAAAATACCTGAAACAACCATGGCCTCATTTGGCCCACAAGTTTCGAAGAACACCATTTCGAAGTTTTGACCTACGCAGCGAAAGTTCTCCGTTCCTTGAGCACAACAATATGGCGACGAAATCACGTGACCTAGACGGCTACGCCTCCTTTCCTCAGTCGATAAGTAGCCGAGCAAGTCAATAATAGATCGCTGCGAGCCCTTCCCCATGCATTGACTTCGGGTCCACCCCGCGGTTTGATACCACGTGCCCTTCATTTCGGTGTTCTCTCTGTTCGTTTACTCGAGGTAAGATGGCGGCCAATTTTACGAAGGAAGAATTATTTAAATTATCTACTAACAAAGACTTTGCTTTTAAAACCCTGATCGATTATATTAAATACTGGTTATTTCCTTTGATACGGGAAAGATAACTAATTAAAATAAGTGAGTAAAGTTTTACTTTTGTGAGGGATCGTTTATCAGGGCTTTCAGAATTCACTTTCCTGACAACAATTTCCTCTGATCTAGATGTTCGTGGCCACTAATTTAAGCTTATTTTATTCTTCTTTCGATTCTATCGCCCTTCGAGTAGTTTCAAAACGATTGAATGGGGAACGAACTGTTCTTAACGTGGCGGTATCCTGAAATGTTTGTACACGAAGCTTATTTGTAAAGTTATTAGTCTCCTCATTCTTGCAGTGTGTAAGCTTCTTTCTTCTTTTTGTTCTTGACTACGATTGATGTCGAGTTTTTCTTGCGTGATCCAAGACGCAGGCACAATCCAAGCACAAGCACGAAACATAACTTTCCTTCATTAACTTCTTATTACAAGCAGTCAAGGAATAAACAATAGAAGTAAAAGAGTACCTTTGATAAGCCCCTGCTTCGGGTTGTACTTACGTCGTGGCTGTAATTTCCAGTGAACAGAGTTGATGAATTATGCTCATATTTACTCTGTTACTCACATTAACATCAGGCCTCAAATTGTTGTCCTTATCTGTGATAAAAGTATCAAAGCATGTAGGAGCTTATGGGCTCGTAAGGCGGCACAAACTTAAGGCAGACTGTTGAAACATCACTAATAGAATAGAAGACAGGCAAGGATTTCAGTGGGAAATTAGATATACTCGAGACACCTTGCTGCTTGTGCTGCTTGTGCCTATGCATTACTAGGGGCCAGGGCAAAGAGGAGTTTCATGTGTCAAATGAATTGATTCAATAACCAAAATGATTCCTTCAGTTAAGTCCATCTCGCCGCCTAGTTCATGTGACATCACCTAGCAAATGCTGTTTGATTGAACATCAAATTCTCCCTTACATTTTACTAGGAAATGCTAGACAAGTTGGGAGAAGAATTTAACAGTAGTGAAATTCTCTTGTTCTTTGTTAGTGTCATCATGTCTGAGGACTGGGGTGCCGCTGATGATGCCGCGCCAGTAGTAGTTGCACCTGAAGTGCAGGACATTAAACTCTTTGGAAAATGGAGCACTGATGATGTGCAAGTCAGTGACATCAGTTTAACTGTAAGTGTGTTATTTCCTTTTGCTGTCTGCCAATGGTTGATCAGCTGTTTGCTTTGTCAGTGGCTTGGGGGCTTATTTATCAAGGAAAACTTATAATTTTTGAGAATAAAACCTCCTGGCTTGTGTTTAAATGCAATTAAGGATGGTTTAAATTAGTGCTGCTTTATACTTGTGTGGTTGGTTCACATCGTTTAAGGTTGTGGTTTTCAACTCAATATAATAGAAACAGGCCAGCTTTTAAAGCTGCCACTTCACATTCTTGGCCTCTTGGGATGTACCAGTTAGTGTTCTGTATGCAAGAATTAAAATCAGGGATGCAAGTCAATCACTGAAGGTTGCATTGAATCAAGCTTTCAACTTGATAGGTTTGGTGTAATTTTGCTTTTTTTTCTCTCACAATGATCAGGATTATATTGCAGTTAAAGAGAAGTATGCCACATATCTTCCTCACACTGCTGGGCGATATGCCTCAAAAAGGTTTAGGAAGGCACAGGTAATAATTGAAAAGTATTTGTTACTATCAACAAACTAATCAAAAGCTGAAACCTGTTCTTTAAACAGAATGAAAATGACCTTGTGGCTTATTCTCACCCATGAAAATAGACGGTAGACTTAAAACCCTCAGGCCAGTTACTATGACAAGATGTTGCCATTTTTTTGTTTTTATGATCTAAGCCTTGATTTCTGTGAACAGTGGTCAAGAATTTTAATTAGCTGTTAATGAAAAAAACTTTTATTTAGTTCAAACAAGCCACTTGTATAGAAATCCTGTACAGTGATTGTTCAAAACTATGGCATTTAAATGTCAGGCTAAGTGCTTTTTCAGAGGAAAGTTTGTTCTTTGAGTCAAGGTTAAGCTGTGATCCACCTTTATGGCCTTGTTTGAAGTGAGATAATATTTTCATGGGATATCTTAGCCTTGTGAAAGCTTCATGAGCATATCGTCATGCAGTGTAACCATTTTTCTGTTAGTGTCCCATTGTGGAGCGACTTGTCAACTCTATGATGATGCATGGCCGTAACAATGGCAAGAAGTTGATGACTGTCAGAATTGTAAAGCATTCATTTGAGATCATCCATCTGTTAACAGGAGAGGTGAGGAACCACAGAGAACTATTTTCAATTTGAGCAGTCTGGAAACTATTTTATCCTGCCCTGTCAGCTGATTCTCTTGTTAGTGATAAGATCGTAAATTTCAATTACCATCATTCAAGGATGTACACTTATCCAGGTGCAAAGCTTTGTAAGGATGATGCAAACACAGAGGGAGATCTTTGGGAATTCTAAAGCTTTTGTTAGCACAAGCTGCTAGCAGGGGTTACAAGAGGCACTTCAGTTTCTCTTGGCAAAATCCATCTACTGATTTTAAATGATGTTAAAAATCTTTCTGTGTTCAGAACCTTTTTACTTTTACAGTCTCTCATTCCAGACTCATTTCACCATTTTTTCTTTCTTCCTTTGACTTCTTTTTGTACAAGGCTGAAAAAGAACACTAAAGTTGTTGAAAAATGTGTAGACCAAAGTCAGCAAACTGCAAGTTTTTAGAGTAAAACTTCCCTTTCCCTTTCCCTTTCCCTTTCCCTTCCCTGTAGAATCCTCTGCAGGTTTTGGTCAATGCCATCATCAACAGTGGCCCCCGTGAGGATTCCACCCGCATTGGTCGTGCTGGTACAGTGCGTCGTCAAGCTGTAGATGTGTCACCCCTGAGGCGTGTCAATCAGGCCATGTGGCTGCTCTGCACTGGTGCTCGTGAGTCAGCATTCAGGAACATCAAGTCCATTGCAGAATGTCTTGCTGATGAGCTCATCAATGCTGCCAAGGTCTGAATTGCATTTAATGCTGAGTGTTATTTAAATAAGTGTACATGTAATATGTTTTGCCAAACTAAGCCAACTGGCTTTTGACCTAAATACAAGATTTTCTTTAACCCGTAAACTCCCAAGATCTCATTAGTAATTCTCCTTACTATCTGCCCAACAATTCTCATTATGTTTTGGAGAATCTGGTATCGGATTAAATAGTAATCCCACAATCAATATTTTTCTTTATTCTCATCACTTGTCTGCATGATATTGTATAGATATAGTAATGAGAAATTCTGTCTTGGTCTCTCATGGGAGTTAAAGGGTTAACTAATTTTGCTGCATTACCAAGCCTTAATTTACCACTACAATTTTTAAAACATTACATGACGCTTTCAGTAGGTGCCCTCTCTGGCCAAGTAGATGCTAATGTTTCCAAAGGCTTGATGATTTTCTGTTGTGTCTTATACTTTTCTTTTTTTTTTTCTTTTCAGGGTTCATCAAACTCTTATGCTATTAAGAAGAAAGATGAGTTGGAACGTGTTGCCAAGTCTAACCGTTAAAATATCAAAACTGACAGCAGAACATAATAAAAATTGTTTCTGAATGGAAGACCTTGTCTCCTTCTCTGTGTTCACTGTTCAATGTAAGGTTTTCACTCAGGAGTGAAGGTTGATAGTGGAGTCTATGTCTGGTAGAGGGTAGTCTTGAAATGGAATGTTAGCAGATAGAAGTGCATCTGTACATGCAGTGTTCTTCCTTATTTTATGCATGACAAGTAAAATGAATTTTCAAACCGGTAAAGCAATCCATTTGCCTGTTGAATTTTCAAGAATTCCAAGTAATTTTAAACCGTAATCAGAGGTACTACAGGTAGTAAATGGTACCGGTTACTGCCTGAAAAGGAGAACACTGTACATGTATTCCATAGCCTCAGAGTTATCAGACTCCTGATGCATCTCAACTGAGAGAGAATGGTCCATACCTCTCACATTCTCTCCAAAAACAAATTCTGTGGTCAATAGAAGTGTCAAAATGTCAGGATGTAAGGGAAGAACACCAACTTGTCATGATAATAATGAGAGCATGTGAAAGCTCTATACTAGAAGCAAACCATTATGCAATTTAATATGGGCTCCACGATCACTAACCTCTTCACCTCATGGAGCCTAGGATGTGAATACTTTGTATGGCAGGGATCCCTTCACCGATTTGAGGAGTTAGCTTGTACTATCTCTAAAATTTGACAAAATACTTTTCCCTATGAATGTTTCATCTACTCCTCTCCATTTCTCCCTGGTTACAATTTTTTGACTTAGCATTCATCTAACAGCCCACAATGCAAGTATCAACAGGCTATCTATTTCAGTTGTTGATATGCAGCTAATACTCCCTCAGTAGAGTGATGGGACTGCCAAAAAGTTTGCATACCCAAGGCACCCTGTAATATGCAGCTAGAGATATTCAGGGCACTTGATGAAAGAAAAGGTGCTGCCATAGGAGTGCCTGAAATGTCTAATAAATACTCAGCTGTGCAGGCATGACAGTAAAATTATGAAATGTCACACTAGCTATAGAGAATAATTTCTTTCACCAACTGCTTCGTGCAATCATCTGAAGACACAGGAACTGACTTGCAAGAAGCTGGTGTGATCCCCAGATATACAGGCTAGTCTTTCAGCTGTTTGCTATCTCTGGGTAGAATTAAAGTGCTGTCTGCACAGCTATAAAATTCTCATTTGAAACGGTCAACTATTTCATAAGGGACCACCTTTAGGGCAGGGAAGGGGTGATCACATTCAAAAAAGACTGGCACAAAGAGCCAATTGAAAACACTGATTAGATCCACCAACTAATTGCAACAAAGTTCCAGTCATTAATATTACGGCAAGCTCACTTATTCACTCTTGGTTTTTGCAAAGGAAACTGCTCTTAGAAATTAGTTCCATCTTGAGAAACTTCAAATCAGTAAAGGTTTATTATAGACAGTCACTGCAAGAGTAGCCCTTGAGTGAGAGTTGGCAGTATTATTTTTCTTCACAAAGCTGTAGCAGAATTTATTTCAAATTCATGTTTTGCACATCATCTTAACTGACAATCCTATTATTGTTAAGTCTGTGAGTCTGATATCTATCAGTGATAGTGCATTTTGCTGTTTCTGTTGCAGTTTTCCATCAACCAACAGATACTTCTGCACATCTTAATAATGAGATCACCATTCCACAAGATTTATTCCACACAATGTAGTAGTGGGATGAGCAGAGAAGCTACCACGGAGGGGACAGAGCTTTATGTTACGATTCTGTTAATCTCCAGATCTTGATAGTACAATCATCAGAACATGATGCTAGGAGGCCTGGCTCCTTAGGATGCCATTTAACTCCATTAACATCCTGGGAATGTGCCTGTATTAAGAATTAAATTAAAAAACTTATGTGATTCAAAGGCAATAATCAATCACTATTAACATCGGACTGATTCAGGTTAATGTCACACACACATCTTGTAAGTGCTTCTTTCCTATCGCTACCCAAGATATTTACCATTTAGTTTATTCATTGTATGTTTAGAGAATGGCCAGATATAACTAGTTCACATGATATATCTGCAAAAAGGTATTGTCTAGAGATTTTCAGTGGAATTATCATAAGGCTTTCACAGATTTTAGCATGTTGGCAACAAAAGAGAAAGACCATGGCCAGTCCTGTTGCATCACACACCAAGAGATGGCAACAATAATATCTCTAAAGCATCAACATGTCTATCATCTGCCACTGCTTCACATTTCATCAGGTGAGCCATCCCACATGCATATCTGTCATCTCTGAATCCCAGCTGGGAGCTACCATTTCAAGCCATGCAGCCCTTCCTTTAACCTAGCAGCATTGATAGCACCAGAGAAAAGTAATCCAAACTTTAAGAGACAGTCTGGTCTCTAGGATAAAATTTGCAGCTGATCCAAAGTCCCCAATTGTCACACTTAGCATGGTCAAATCTGTCCATTCTTGAACCTATTCTAGCACCCCCACCCTTCTGCAATAAGAAATGCAAATAATTAACAATCTTATTTTAAACAAAAGCAAGAAAGGATGATAAACACCTCTCGCTGAATTGCTACTTGCTGGAATGAAGGTTTATTCTTGTCATCAATAGTAACATCCTGTCAAAAGAAAGCATGTTCACTTAGTGATAATCTTTCAGTCAATATAACAGAAAAGCCTTAAAATACATTCAAAATGTTTATCATCTATTCCTAAGGGCAAGTTACATACTAGTAATTAGTTTTCATGTTAACCAACAAAGTTATCCTCATGAAAATCCAGCATGAATTTAACAAAAAAATCCATAACCTGTTGAAATACTCTGAGACAATCATCTCCCCCTGCTGTTGCTATGACATCTTCAACAGGAGACCTGATTTTAAAAGGAAAGAGAAGAGAGAAATACTCCTGCAGCAATATAAGCACAGCATAACTGTAATCTTTATCTATCTGTGATGAAAAACTTTATTTGTTGGAAAAAAATCTTACAGAGATTTGAGAAGAATCTGACTTCTGACAGTGTTCTTTGAAGTCACCAATACCAAGGGCACAGGTTTGCAAAAGAAATGGGAGGAACTAATTACTGGAATAAAAAAGGAAGCAAGGACCACAGAACACTTTCTATTTCCCTGCCCTATGCATTTTTTTCTCTTTCCTTTGAGTATTCCATTCACAAACTGTCACAAATTCCAAAGTGCCAGAAAGAACCATTAATTTTTCACTCCATTGGTGAACAAATTTACACCTACCAGTGAACATCATAAATAGTTCTGTCATGATAACCAGACAACACACAAACACTCTTCCATTTTGGGTCGCTTCCATTTGTGACAACACCTGGTAGGAATTGTATTTTAACTGGGTTGAGAATTCTTAATTCAATCAAAAATGCACCTTAACAAAGCTAATTGTCAACAATTAGCTTAGCTAACCACTCTTAAGTAACAATTCTAGTAATACTAAAACTACATCTAGCAATGATAATGATGATGAAAATTAGTTCTTGTAACTGACCACCCTTCTCCCAAAATTTAGACTTTTCAGGGCCAAAAAAATTAAATATTCCAAAAGAAATCAATCATTCAAATATCCCAACTGGCTGGGAAAAGACCAGTTCGTTAAATACCATGATGTTACCAGAGAAAAATTTAGGACCGAATTAAAATCTTAGTGCCAAGAATAAATCTACAGTTGGTTAAGCTACTGTTAGTAGTAAGCAGCATGGCGCAGGGCTGGAATCTGGGACCACCAGATCACAAGACAAGCACCTTTACTAACTAATCACTTTTTGTTCTTTGTTTGTCTAAATGTAGTCATTTTTGGTATAACAACCATTTTTTTATTACTTAATAGGATATAGAAGGTAATATTTCATTACCTTCTTGATTCCCTGGTTCATAACTCTGCCATATTCTTATTGTTTTGTCATCACTGCATGAAACTGTAAAGAATATTAATAAAAAGCATTTACAGCACTGTTGTAAGGAAAATATAAAAACAGTCAAAGTAGCCTATTAATTCATCAACTTTTTTCACCAACCTAGCCTGTCACCAGTGTGATTAAAACTTATGGCCCATACTGTTGCCTCATGGCCATCCAAAGTATCAAAACAAGACCTGTTTTGAAAAGTACAAATTAAAAATAAAATACCAGGAGTGAAAGAATTAAGAAAAAACAAACATGGCTTTGACCAATGGCCTATCATGCAGCACTAGCTCTGAATAATCTTAATTTCTACCATTCAATTTTGCTACCCAATCTCAATATTTTACATGAACAAAGAAGATAAGTTTCTAAAGAAACAATGGTGCTGTTTAAATTGGGGGGGGGGGTATAACAAAATAGTGTGGTTTCATAAAGTTAGCTGATATTGTAAATTGGCTCCTCCAAAGAGTTTCTAAGCTGATGTTTCGAGCCTTAGCCCTTCCAGTCATTCACTCTGACAAAGGACTAACAATGGAAATGTCAGCTTAGAAACCCTTTACAGTGGTCAATTTACATTATTATTATCAACTCTGTTTTATAAAACTAGATTATCTCAAAATTCTTTTATTCATCCTCAATCAATAAACCCCAGAACATCAAGGCTCTGGAGAATAAAATGTAAGATTTATACAATTATTAGTGGAGGTGTGGTGGCCTCATGGTTTGCGCGCTCAACTCCAGATCAAGTGGTCTGGGTTCAAGCCCTGGCTGGGGATATTGTGTTGTGTTCTTAGGCAAGACACTTTACTCTCACAGTGCTTCTCTTCACCCAGGTGTACAAATGGGTACCAGCAAACATCCTGGGGGTAACCCTGCAATGGACTAGCATCCCATCCAGGGGGGGAGTAGCAATACTCCTAGCCGCTTCATGCTAAGGAAACCAGAGTTAAGCACCTGCCCCATGGGCCTCTAAGGCCTGTATAAAGGCATTACTTTTATGCAATTATTAACATATATGAAGCACTATAGTTCTCTCTCTCACATTCCTTAATTTGAGAAATTTTAGATGGCTAACTAACCAATCATCATCATCTTCTTTGTAAAGTTTAACTGTGTCATCATAACTGCATGATGCCAGAATCTGTAAAGAATTGGTAATAACCAGTCATTCACAATAGAAGAAATATAAAATCAATATGTTTACCTCCAGTATACATATATGTATACCTCCAGTAAGGAACCTTGACAAAGCACTGCTTCTCTTCTAACCAACAAGATCCCATTTAATGGTTGTTACTAAGTACTACACAATTTTGCTCTGACCTCCTTGTCTGGATGCCAAACAACTCTCTTCACATCCTGTGAGTGACTGTGAAGAACACTTGCACATTCATACTCATCGTCTTCTTGCACTAAAAAATGTAGGAGATAATTATAACATTGCTCCTTTCAGCAATAATTATTCATTTTAATTTCCACAATATCCAGAAGGAGGTTCTTACATATATACTGAGCACATCACAAAATTAATTTACGGGTTTTCAGACTAGTTTCACACCTGAGAAGATGAGTGGAGTCCAACCCTGCCCAACCCATACTGATTTTTCTCACATTAGCTGTCAAAGTCTGAGTTAATGTGCCAGTCAGTCAATGATTATGGATAAAAATGCATGTAAGAAACAGGGTGGCAGAGATGTAGATACAAGCAGCCATTATTGTTAATTTGTATTGTTGGTACCTTCCCATATCCAAACACTCTTGTCTCTTCCACAAGTTGCAATGAATGATCCTGAAGAACTCCAGGCTACTGATTTGACCTCATTTTCGTGTCCTTCGAGAGTGGCATTACACTCAAACTCTAAAATCAATAAAATATTTCATATCAATTTATTAATCCCAACTAAGTCAATCATAGGATAAATCATACAAAAGACAAAAGTTCTTGTAAAAATCAGTAAGTTTCAGTGTACTCATCATAGTGGTTTTCCAGTGACCCGACATTACTACGCTGATTATACATGTACATGTTACACTGCAGATACATGTACCTTAAAGTAGTAATGTTGGCTGTTTCAAACAATTTTTGTAAAGAAACTTTGCATGGTTAGTTGGTTGTATTTCAATGCAACATTAACCACAACTTTAACCTTAGATCCTAAATGACCACATTGGAGAATAATTATGGAGTGTATGATCTTTATATATCTACCTCCACTGTTTTTATCCCAAATACAGATAGTTGCATCAAAGCTGGCAGAAGCTAGGTACATCCCATTTGGAGACCAATCCACTAAAACAAACAATCAAAATAAGCATTTATTTTCAGTTTTTAACTGAAATACCTATCAAGGCCATCGTGATATTTTTCCACTCTTCCACAGATATAAAAAAACAAAATCATCAGAAATTATTGTGTATTAATACCCCAAATTCCTATTCAGTCTGGAAACAGTGGACAAGAAGAGCCACCTAGCAGATTGTCAATTGTTAAATTCACATATGATATTATGATTGTTATTATTATTATTATTTGTAGTAGTAGTAGTAGTAGTATTATTATAAATTTTTTTACTATATTCATTTTACCATTCTCACCTGATCTGATGGTTCTTTGATGTCCATCTTCAAGTACTGTTTTACAAACCCATTTGTCTCCCTCTTTACCCCAGAGACGAATGTGTTCAAGTTAAGAAACAATATTCAAAGAAAAGTTGTTTACATATTGGATTAAATTTATTCAGAATCGTACTACTACATCTAAAATTATTCAAGAAAATTGTGTACTTCGTCAATTTTAAAAAACATAATAATTTCACTGACCACAAAAAAATAACATTTGGTAATGTCTAATTAATCCAGTATTCTTTGGTGCAAAAACTAGACTAATTTCATTAATCAAACTTAAATAAAATAAACATCTGAAGAAAATGTAACTGCAACTTTAATGATATTGTTTTATCTCCTCCACAGCTTGCCAATAATGTTCCAGAGGGATTCCAACAAACAGACCATACCCTGTCTTCGTGACCTAAAAGACCCCAAAAAGTTAGGATTACGATAAGGAGATTGACGGGAGGTGCTAAAATTTTTCTTAATGAAAAAAGGGGAGTTATATAATACGAACTAAATTCCCCTAGGTTGCACTACCTTCCAGAGTTTGCACAAGCTCCAAATTTCCAGACATATTCAGTACTTGGTTAGAGGGAGCAGAAATTTACCAGGCATCATATGCTCTCAATAATTGAGCCCGCGACATTTCTTTATTTCGCACAGCATCACAGATCATGCGCAATTCAAGCGTCTTACATAAGCTATGACGCAATAAAATTATCCCTTTCAAATTGACGCACGGAGGAAGTGTGAAGCAATACGTGTTACCGGTTACAACCTAGTGTTTCAGCGTAGTTTTCTACCTAAAGTAAGTACTAATCAGTCAAAATTTCCCTTCAATTATTCTTGTGCGTACACTTATTACTCTCCTTAGCCATTTCGGTTTGTTTAGTTGACGGGGGACAGATTCTGTCACACGTGTGTGCGAGCGGAATTTTACCGGCATGTATTCGACTTTTGAACTGATGGAAGTCCAAGTTCGCCGTCGAGGTTTCTTGCCTTCTTCTTGTTGATGAACCGAAATATTACTAACATTTTCAAACACTCTTAAGATTTCAACAAGACTTGTTAAAGGGAGGGCATTATCGTGTCTGTGTCGACTTTTCGTATAGTAATTCTTAACAAACCGGTGATCGAGTCGTACAGTATGTGGAAAATTGAAACACTCTAAGAAGGCCTAGGGTAGTAACAAAGAAAGAGAAAAACCTAGAAAATCATAGCCTAGACGATCATTGCCCAGAAGTGCTTCGCGATTTTAACATCTGCTAAGTCGGCCGGCTCTTTCGTGTTCTGGTCGGGTTTTTGCCCCAACTCGTCGATATAACATATCGTGCTCCGCTTCAAGCGTGATGCAACTTCTGTTTCAAAAATGTTTCTGTTCCAGGCAAAACAATTTTTGTCTCGCAGTTGATCTTGTTTGGGCTACCGAATCTATTATGTAATCAAACTATGTTCAATTGTGCATCGTGTGATATAATTGTGTCCTCTCCTCAGCAATTTCCTCTGGTCAATTTATATTTGATCAGAGTACTTGATTGTAGATCAAAGTTTCGTTCCTGTGAACGGGAGACACTGATGTTGGTTACTGTTTAAAGGTTAACCATATTGTGCCCTGGTTTTCAAGGCAATACAGAATTCTTTGAGAAGATTGTAACTTTGCTTTGTCACCAAAGGTATTTATTATTGTTGATTCAGGAACAATGGGTGATATTCCTATTGGAGACGCCACAAAGGGGGCCAAGATCTTCAAGACTAAATGTGCACAGTGTCACACAGTAGAGGCAGTAAGTTCACAGTGCTTAATTTTATCCTGTTTAAGTTTTCAGAGTATACAATGTACTTTGTAGCAGTGCAATAGGTAAAATTTCCGCACAGCCCCATACTATTGTAAAACAAATCTTTTTTCCCAATGGCAATCTATTGTTTTTGTCATTGTTTTCTCAATCCAAGAACTGAATGCATAATGTAGTATGGGGCTGTGCAGAAATTTTACCGTGCAATATTACACCATCACTGACCCCAAGTACCACCAGTTTCTTCTGTGAATCTGTTTGATAGGTTTTGAAAAGTCTTGACACATTTTCAATGCTTTCATAGCTGCAGATCACTCCTAGCACCCAAATACCCAAAGTATTTGCCTAAATGGACCTTTCTTTTTTCTGTTCAGAATGGTAAGCATAAGACGGGTCCGAACCTTCATGGCTTGTTTGGTCGCAAAACTGGACAGGCACCAGGTTTCTCTTACACTGATGCTAACAAGAACAAGGGCATCACATGGGGCCCAGACACTCTGTGGATTTACCTGGAAAACCCCAAGAAGTACATTCCTGGTAGGTGTTTAGATGTAGGCATGATGCATGTACTGGAAATTTCATGGAATAAATTATGTATGAACCTGTCAATGGGATAGCAGTTGACCCCAAATGGAACACTGTGTAATCTTGAGTCATTAGAGTAATGCTGGAAGCTTTTCACAATTAACTTTTTTTGAAGACTTTAGGCCTCTTTTTTTAATTTTTCTTTTCTATTACATGCTATTCTTCTTATTCTGTAAGGTTAATTTCAAATGTCCCACTTTTATTGCTGGAAACTAAAGTAAAAAAATTATTTGGAGTATGTAATATTAGCATTATGTTTGAAACCCTATAATAGGGCTTTTGGAATTCATTTCAGCACAGTAAAGTTAAGACTAGGTTTTCAAGTGTTAAATTAATACAAATTTTCTTCTAAAGGAACAAAGATGGTCTTTGCTGGTCTAAAGAAAAAAGCTGAGAGAGCAGGTTGGTGAAATATTTTCCTTGAGAAGTCCATTCTAACCACATAAAGCTTTCTTTATATTGTAGAAGTTTATTTGGAAGTTTTAAAGTGCTAAATTGTGAGATTATGAAGCATGTCAAGTTATACAGTTTCTATAGTACAACAAAAGAATGAGTAGAGAAGGAGAAGGAACGTGTAACCAGAAAGCAAGGCTTTTTGCTCTCAAAGGAGAATTTCTTGTTTACTTTGAACTCCATCTAAGTTTGAAATTTGTGTTAAAATATGATTGTGAGCAAAACATTCTGTTTGTTTTAGATCTCATTGCTTACCTGAAGGAGGCCACAAGCTGAAACCAGTTTTGTGCAGAATAATGCAGAAGTGCCATGCAATTATATGGATTTTACTTTCTTTTCATCAAGCATGTAACATACTATTTGAAAAGACACTAGTGTGGATTGCTGGAATGTGTCTGAACAACTTTAATTAATTTGCTGTACAGGATGTGAAACAGTATTATTTACAAGGCTGTGCTTTGTTGTAATGTACTGATTTTAAAAGGCCATGGTGACAATGAAATTTTCTGAGTTTTAAATGGCTCTCTTTATGTCTTTCTTCTCAGAGTTGTCAATTGATAATAACATTAATGATTATACTTCTAAGCAAAACTGGTGACTATGCATTTACCAGCAACACTCAGAAGAAGCTTCCCTTTCCTTTAGACCACAGTTTTATAGTTTCACATTTCTGGTTGAATTCCCTTCCTTGACAAAACTTTTCACAAAGATGATGTTATGCAATCAGTTGTACTTTAATACGGTTGTGAAAGAATGTATTGGCTTGCCATGGTAATTGGAGGCTGTTTAACCATATGTGACATAGGAATGCTAGTTGTGCAGAATTATCATAGCTGGGCAACAGTTCTGACATGTATTTGAATGAAGAGAAGACGAGTCTTCAAAGGCTAATCAAGGATTCTCTGCTCTATGGGTAGGTAACATTGACCATTGCAAAGAACACGGACCACTTGCAACTTGTGTCATGTTAAATTCCCATTTCTCTGTATTTTTCAACGTACTACAACAACACTCACCTTTAAAGGCAATTTGCTCTGACAAAGGGCTAACACTCAAAACATCAGCTTCGAAACTCATCATAATGGCCACCTTATAATATCAACTCAGTTGATAAAACCAAGTAATCTTGTTTCGTTCCCCCACTGACAAAGTTAGAAAGTTACCCCCTTTACCCCTAAAGGTGAGTCTGCAGTGTTTTACATATTTCCTATAGAAAATACTGGACCTCAAATCTATCTTGTGTTAAGAAGGGAATGTAGTCCAAGGAGCAGAAGTGCAATTAGTTTCCAATGATTCTGATAACCTCCCCAATTATCCAGTAAGTGCATCAAATTGAAATGTAGGCTTAGGTGTGCAATAACAAATTAATCCCAAATTGCCCTCACACAAAATTTCAGCTTTTATGATGTATTTCAAAACCTTTAACTGTTAACAATACCATGAAAAAAGTGTTGCATATATGTTATACAGTAAAACAAGAATTATTACACACCAGCAATCAACATTACTTTGAACAAAATTTTATTCATTTTTTTTAAGCTTGTTAATCAGTCATGTTTGTAAAAAATGCAGTCATTCACAATTTTTTGACAAAAATAGACCCAACAAGTTGAAAACAGGCAATTAAAGTAGCTAACAGCAAAGAAATATTGCTTGGTTTATACCTAACAATAAAAAGAAATCATTTCATGCTTTACTACAACAAACTTTGTTGCAAACAATCCATCTGAAGATCAAACAGAACTTTACTGAAGAGATGGTGAAATAATGATGGAAATAATAAGTTGATAATAATGCTCCTCAAGTGGCATTAGAGAAAATACTCAAAGGATTGGTAAAGATAAAAGGTAACCACTAACTGGTTAGCTCTTATAAGTCACAAAATTGGGTTGAATTTAACTCAAATCTAAACAATCTCAATACATCATATGTTACATGATACTTTCTTTTCCTAAAAAATCCTTGACAGCCTAGACAGTTTTTCTGTCACTTAAAACACGGACAATGGAACCAAGTCCAGCCACTGCCAAAAGCTGAAACAAGAAAATTCACAAAACTAAGAATCTAACCCTACAGCCTCATGCTCATGAATGGGAACACCACATTACAAGTATCTTTTTACTACATGAGAAAGTATTCTATCAACTGTTTTAAATATAAAGAGCTACACTTAGAGTGGCCTTGTTGAGGAGGTAAATAAATGACTAGAAAAATGACAAGTAAGTGTTCCTGAAAAACTATCTCATGCAGAATTCCAACTAAACATTTCTGCTATACTTGTGTGATCTCATGCTGGATGAAATAACTAACCTTTTCATGCCATGTAAGTAACGTAGCACTGGATCCCTCAGTGGGCTCAGCAAAACCTCTGTAAATGTATTTCATCAACACATCCTGCTCATTCTTGTCCAAGATTTTGACACATTTGTCCACTTCAGCTGCCTTCACAGCAGTAAGTACACGTAATACTATCCCAAATGCCTTATCCTGCAAAACAGTTTGCAGAAATCTCTTATAAACTCTAGCTATAAATGATTTCCTCTCAAGTTTCATTACAGTAAGCATATTAAGAGGAGTTTTAAATTTTCACTTGTTACTCATCAAGTGTTCTAGACAAAGGGCTCTTGAAAGAGGGTCCAAAATAGACTTTTCCAATCCCACATCCTGCAACTGTTTCTCATTTTATCCCACCAGGTTAAACCCAAGTTGCTCTGGTTCACCACCAACTGATGGACAAATTAGAGCCTTAACAATATTGACAATGTACTCCTGTTATTGAGAAAGGAAAAGAATTGATTAATGCATATTTAGAAATTGAGAATTGATTAATGCATAGCTAGAAAGACAGTCTTAATAAGTGAGACCTGCAGAAGGACCACCAGAAAAACTATTCTGTTACATAGATAAAATTCTTCAGTCGATCACACAACAACAGAAGTCACATCTCAATACAACAGACTCCATCAACTTCATAGAAAAGACAAAGCTTCAGAAAGTAGTGATACTCCTTTCAATGGATGTTACCAGCTTATACAAAAATATACTCTCTCATTCCCGCCCCCATCCAAAGTTCTTACTAGAGAAAGCACCTAAACTAACTTGGCTGGAAAACTCATCCCAATTCAGTGAACAAAATTACTTGCAAATGCATGGAACTGCCATGGGTACCAACATGTCGGTAGCCTTTTCAAACATCTTCATGGCTAAAATTGCAAATCCTAGATAAAGGTGTTCATTTGGAAACACATCAATGACATAATCTCTCTCTTGAACACCAACTGATATGTCATCAACCAGTTCATTGAACAAGCAAACAATCATCAGCCAACAATCAAATTTACAGCTGAAATATCTGTTTCAGAAACTACTGTTAGACACCACTATCTATAAGGGAGTGAGATTCAACAGGGAGCCAGACTTCCCAGGACTAATTCTTCTAAGGAAAAGTTTGAAGAGGCTATTAGACAGTTCAAAACATACTTGGCTGAGAGAGACTAACCGAAAAACTTTTTTGACAACCCACTCTTTGGAGTGAACTTGAACAACCTTAACCGGCCCACCTCTAACAGGGAAAACAAACAATCAAATCTTACCCTTTGTAATAACACAATACTATCTAACTGTTCCAAACCTTAAAGAAATCCTTTTGAGTCCATGAAATTTAGTACAGCAATAACCATTGCTAGGAGAAACCTTCAAAGAACTGCCAATAGTATCATACAGAAAGGGGCCTTCACTCAGACATACTCATGAGAAAAAAAAAATTATAATGAAGGCAAGAAAACTGGAGATACTATGGAGATGTGCAAACATTTGTAACTAACACAGAGAAAACAGGACTTGGTACAGAGTCATTTCAGAATGTCAACCCCAATTTACACGGGAGCATTAATTAAGTTTGATTCCAAAGCAAATGAATACTTTTTGATATCTCTATGTTCGAGTAACTCATAACCTGAGTTAAATTATGATCTCACCTATAGCCATCCTATCTTCTATCCTGCCTTCAAACTGGAGCACATCCTGGTCTCACCATCCTATTTTCCTATATAATTTCTTGTATCCTACATCCCCCTAAATTTTGAGCTACATCCCACATCCCGCCAAACCCATGTTGGACCCTCTCAAAGACATTGGGTTCAGTGGTCAAATATTGCATATAAAGTCCCCTTAGCATTCAAAAGATGGTAGCAATCTGGTCTCATGTCGTAAGGATTCCCAATTGCATAACCTAACTACCATCTCCTTAGCAGTAAAAAAACTTACATATGTCAAGCCACCCTTACAAAAAAAATTATCATCTTTCTTATTATATTTACAATAGTTCAAATGTTTTCATAGTATTTTCAATCGGTGTCAGGATCTTGTGTCGTCCAACTGAGTCTGTCTCAGTCTTCCAAATTTCCTTATTATCTATTACGAAAATGTACTGATCAAGAATGTGTTTGCAAAAACTGCGAAGAGCATGAAATATGATAGTAGTCCTCTACCTTTGTCGCCTGGTTTTTCGACATAATAGGAGCATTCGTCAAAGCAGCTTTAAGGGCTTCTGCATTTTTCTGCCTAGATTAAAGTTAAGGACTCAAAAAACGTAGGTTGTGTTAAGTGTAATTTTGTGAGATGCTGCATATACTATCCTATCATGGTTCACTGCTGACCTCGGTTAGTCTTTAAAATATGGGTTAAATTGCAGTGGAAAGGAGTATTTAAGATTCATACAACCTTAGTAGGACCAATTTCTTTCCTATTAACTGCTAAAATGTGAAATAAAAATTGAGTTTTCCGTGCCATGAAAGGATACTGCATGAGCAAGTTCTTGACTTCCCCTTCATCCGGTCCGCTTTGACCTGAATCTTCATCTCCATCATCTTGAAATGTGTTTTCATCCAACTCATCTACATCTACTCCCCTAAATTTTGTCGACTGGCTGGATTTCGACATATCGAAAGAAGATTTAAGAAAGAAATAACTTCAGTATTCGTATGGAATGGACGGAAACAACTCACTCCCTTCCCTTCCCATAAATCACCGGGAACATAGTCCTAGAGCCAGTCTCCGGTAGTCGGCAGCAGTCATCGATGACCCTTTCGGGGAGGCGGGGGCGATATTTAGTTCACTTCGTGTAACTTTGGACTACAGAAGGTCGCAAAACTCCGTTGGCATCCCCTTTGACCTATCCTTCTACATCTTTTTCAAACTTTCTTTTCTGAAATGAGTGTGATTCAGTAAACAGTCACGTTACCTTCACAGGTTCTTCCTGGAGTTAGAATTGACTTAAATACAAGTAATATAAGACTGGTTCTAAACTGCCTCTTTTTCAAATTTTAAATCATGCCTGTGAGAGTGTTACCCATCCTTTGAACTATGATATTTTCAAAGCCAAGTTTATCCTAAAAGACTGCTCTATGTGTCTGTTAGTGTCATTTCTGTGTGCATGTAAGCAAGCATGGACTTAAAGTACCACCGCTATCAACATTAAAATTTTTCGTGCTTAATACAGGTCCCTAATATTTTCAACTTCCCAGCTATTTCAGGGGGTTGAAACACTCCAATAAACGTACTTGATATTAATGGCAGTAGATCTTGTATAATTTGTTTATGCCTACAATCAAAATACTAAATTTAAGATGCTTCTGGTCTAATAAGCTTTCGTTATTGATGGTAGTCAGTGTTACCTACGCAACAGAGCGGACTTTCTGGGGTTTCAACAGCATAATAAACCCATGTTCAAGGCTGGAGCAACACAAAAAGGTTAAAAAGTAATGCTGATCTTCATCAAGTAAGGATGATGGGACAGTTGACTCATACACTTCATCTATTGAAGTATCCCATGATTTCCTAAATTAGCGGATTTCTGACGTTTGTGATTAAGTCATTCCTGTCCACGATGTACCGTGTTTCCTTGGCGTTTTACGGGAGTTTTCCCCCAATGAAGTCTCACGAGTTAAAAAAAAATGGAGACTGATGGGTTATCTTTGGGCTATTCACTTAGATTTTTTGTGGTTTTGAGACAGCACTATTTGGAGCGAAGGAGGTGGGGGTGAAGGGGCAGAGAAGCTGGTGTTGAGATTTTAATCATTTATTTCCCATCTTATGGGCTTGCATTTGGAGTTCATAAGGTCTCGCACACGCTGTTAACGGCCCGAGCGCGCGAACATTACGTAACAAAGCAATAGGTTGCTAAGGAACGCAAACAAACAACAGCAATTTAAAAAATCCTAAAAGGTAAAACTTTGCAAAAGATTGTCTTGCTACAAAAGGACCCTTAAAAGGTCAGTTACGAAGTAACCCGCTTAAAGTTTCAATAGATACATGTACAGAGTCATCTAAAAAGTAAGCAGTTTGAAAATTACGGTGCATATATTTCAAGAATCATTTTGAAAGAAGCGTTTCAAAATTTGCACTGAATACATCCAGAAGTATAAATATGATTGTAAAGCATCTCAAAAGTCACCAAGCAAAAGAAAGTATAAAGTTGCAGAAAGAAAGAATGCGATTCAAAGTTGCAGTATAAATATCTCGAGGACCGCTTGGAATAAATGAATGCGAGAACGATCTTCGCAGTAATGAACACTACTTAAGCAGTAGTGGAATTAACCAGTTTAAAAGTTGCAGTGCATGTTTATGACTCAAGAACAATTTAAAACAGAGGCAGTTTGAAAGTTGTAGGGTATATCTCAAGCGTCAGTTAAAAATGAGGCAGTTTCAAAATTGTGAAGTATATATTCCAGGATTGTCAAAGAATGCAAGCAGTTTAAAAGTTGCATGGTAAATATCTTGAGAATAAGTTGATAAGGAAGCAGTTTGAAGGTTGCGGTGTATGTATCTTAAGAACCATTTAGAAGGAAGCATTTTGAAAGTTGCGGTGTATGTATCTTAAGAGTCACTTCGAAGGAAGCAGTTTGAAAGTTGCGGTGTATGTATCTTAAGAGCCATTTAGAAGAAAGAAGTTTGAAAGTTGCGGTGCATATAATTCAAGAGTTATTCAGAAGGAAGCGGTTTGAAAGTTGCTTTCTTCTGAATGACTCTTGAGATATATGCACCGCATATACATGGTAAATATGTTAAGAGTCGGTCAATAAGAGAGCAGTTTGAAAGTTGCTGTGTATGTATCTCAAGAGTCACTTAGAAGGAAGCAGTTTGAAAGTTGCGGTGTATGTATCTTAAGAGCCATTTAGAAGAAAGCAGTTTGAAAGTTGCGGTGTATGTATCTCAAGAGTCACTTCGAAGGAAGCAGTTTGAAAGTTGCGGTGTATGTATCTTAAGAGCCATTTAGAAGAAAGAAGTTTGAAAGTTGCGATGCATATAATTCAAGAGTTATTCAGAAGGAAGCGGTTTGAAAGTTGCTTTCTTCTGAATGACTCTTGAGATATATGCACCGCATATACATGGTAAATATGTTAAGAGTCGGTTAATAAGAGGGCAGTTTGAAAGTTGCTGTGTATATCTCTCAAGAGTCATTTAGAAGGATGCTGTTTGATAGTTGCGGTGCATATATCTCAAGAGTCACTAAGAAGGAAGCAGTCTGAAAGTTAAGGTGCATATATATCAAGAATCATTTAAGAGAAAGCGGTTTGAAAGTTGCGGAATGTATCTCAAGAGTCATTTAGAAGGAAGCAGTTTGAAAGTTAAGATGCATATATTTCAAGAGAGTCACTGAGAAGGAAGCAGTTTGAAAGTTGTGGTGCATGGATCTCAAGAGTCATTTAAAAGAAAGCAGTTTGAAAGTTAAGGTGCATATAACTCAAGAGATTCATTTAGAAAGAAGCAGTTTAAAAGTTGCTGTGCATATATGTTAAGAGTCATTTAGAAGGAAGCAGTTTGATAGTTGCGGTGCATATCTCTCAAGAGTCATTTAGAAGGAAGCAGTTTGAAAGTTAAGGTGCATATCTCTCAAGAGTCATTTAGAAGGAAACAGTTTGAAAGTTGTGGTGCATATATCTCAAGAGTCGCTAAGAAGGAAGCAGTCTGAAAGTTAAGGTGCATATATCTCAAGATTCATTAGGAAGGAAGCAATTCGAAAGTTGCGGTGCATATATCTCAAGAGTCATTTAGAAAGTAGCAGTTTGAAAGTTGCGGTACATATATCTCAAGAGTCATTTAAAAGAAAGCAGTTTGAAAGTTGCGGTGTATATCTCAAGAGTCATTTAGAAAGTAGCAGTTTGAAAATTGCGGTACATATATCTCAAGAGTCATTTAAAAGAAAGCAGTTTGAAAGTTGCGGTGTATATCTCAAGAGTCATTTAGAAAGTAGCAGTTTGAAAATTGCGGTACATATATCTCAAGAGTCATTTAAAAGAAAGCAGTTTGAAAGTTGCGGTGTATATCTCAAGAGTCATTTAGAAAGTAGCAGTTTGAAAATTGCGGTACATATATCTCAAGAGTCATTTAAAAGAAAGCAGTTTGAAAGTTGCGGTGTATATCTCAAGAGTCATTTAGAAAGTAGCAGTTTGAAAATTGCGGTACATATATCTCAAGAGTCATTTAAAAGAAAGCAGTTTGAAAGTTGCGGTGTATATCTCAAGAGTCATTTAGAAAGTAGCAGTTTGAAAATTGCGGTACATATATCTCAAGAGTCATTTAAAAGAAAGCAGTTTGAAAGTTGCGGTGTATATCTCAAGAGTCATTTAGAAAGTAGCAGTTTGAAAATTGCGGTACATATATCTCAAGAGTCATTTAAAAGAAAGCAGTTTGAAAGTTGCGGTGTATATCTCAAGAGTCATTTAGAAAGTAGCAGTTTGAAAATTGCGGTACATATATCTCAAGAGTCATTTAAAAGAAAGCAGTTTGAAAGTTGCGGTGTATATCTCAAGAGTCATTTAGAAAGTAGCAGTTTGAAAATTGCGGTACATATATCTCAAGAGTCATTTAAAAGAAAGCAGTTTGAAAGTTGCGGTGCATATCTCAAGAGTCATTTAGAAAGTAGCAGTTTGAAAATTGCGGTACATATATCTCAAGAGTCATTTAAAAGAAAGCAGTTTGAAAGTTGCGGTGTATATCTCAAGAGTCATTTAGAAAGTAGCAGTTTGAAAATTGCGGTACATATATCTCAAGAGTCATTTAAAAGAAAGCAGTTTGAAAGTTGCGGTGTATATCTCAAGAGTCATTTAGAAAGTAGCAGTTTGAAAATTGCGGTACATATATCTCAAGAGTCATTTAAAAGAAAGCAGTTTGAAAGTTGCGGTGTATATCTCAAGAGTCATTTAGAAAGTAGCAGTTTGAAAATTGCGGTACATATATCTCAAGAGTCATTTAAAAGAAAGCAGTTTGAAAGTTGCGGTGTATATCTCAAGAGTCATTTAGAAAGTAGCAGTTTGAAAATTGCGGTACATATATCTCAAGAGTCATTTAAAAGAAAGCAGTTTGAAAGTTGCGGTGTATATATCTCAAGAGTCATTTAGAAGGAAGCAGTTTGAAAGTTGCGGCGTATATATCTCAAGAGTCATTTGGAAGGAAACAGTTTGGAAGTTGCGGTGCATAGCTCTCAAGAGTCATTTAGAAGGTAGCAGTTTGAAAGTTGCCGTGTACATATCTCAAGAGTCATTTAGGGGGAAGCAGTTTGAAAGCTGCGGTGCATATCTCTCAAGAGTCACCAAGAAGGAGGCAGTTTGAAAGTTGCGGAGCATATCTCTCAAGAGTCACCTACAAGGAAGCAGTGTGAAAGTTGCGCTGTATATATCTCAAGAGTCATTTACAAGGAAGCAGTTTGAAAGTTGCGGTGTATATATCTCGAGAGTCATTAAGCAGTTTGAATGTTGCGGTGTATATATCTCAAGTGGTATTAAGAAGGAAGCAGTTTAAAAGTTAAGGTGCATATATCTCAAGACTCACTAAAAGGAGGCAGTTTGAAAAATGCTGTGCATATATCTCAAGAGTCATTCAGAAGGAAGCAGTTTGAAAGTTGCGGTGTATATATCTTCAAAGTCATTTAGAAGGGAGCAGTTTGAAAGTTGCAGTGCATATCTCTCAAGAGTCATTTACAAGGAAGCAGTATGAAAGTTGCGGTGTATGTATATCTCAAGAG